ATCCAACATTTTATTCAAGATCTGTCAGCATTTGGCATCGGTCGTATTGACAAGAGTCAGTATTTTCTTTTTGTCTTGTCGCTCCTGAACACACGGCATTTTCACCCTTTTAGGCTTATTAATTTATTTTCTTTGTAAAGGTTGCTGTTTGTTATAATAAATTATTTTTGGTGATTTCTGTTTGTTAATTCCTAAGGAATAGTTAAAACCCATTTCTCAACGCGATCTTTTATTGGATTAGAAGTATTTTATCAAGTTTGAGAGGGATATACTTTAAGTTACATTCAAACCGCCGTGATCAACTTTTACAAAACAGAAAGTCTGCATTTGAGATGTGCTGTTATGTATGTGAGAAATAACTAGATCTTTGGTGGAATCACTTCAACAAAGCTGAGGCAATGGATGTGTTGCAAATGGTCCAGAATAATAGGTAATGGGATTCATTCATATACTTACACTTGAATGAATAAAATATTAGCCAAATTTAAACAAATATTAAAAAAAAATAATGGTATCAGCAATCTGACGCATGCTTTCCCCAATTAGTTGGTCAACAACCCTTATCATGGTGTGGAAGGCTTCTGATATTTTATAAAGAAAATCACAAAAGTTGAAATAACTTTTGAACTATAATTTTTACAGCATTGGGGGATGTACCATTTTGTTAAGAGTTAAAAGGACTATAGCATTCTAAATTTTTATCAATAATGTTTGTACTTTTTTTATCTGACTTTCTGTGGTTTTATGGGAAAATCAGCATAAAAACAAAAATTTCCAAAAAATTATAACCCCTCTCGATACTGTGGATCTACGTACCAAGTTTCATAATAATCTGACCAGTTAGTAAGAGATCAAGAAAAAAGAAGAAGATTGTCTAGAAGGGTTCGGTGAACCAGTTCAAGTCCAGTTCTTGGCTATAGATCATTCAAAGTTTAACTTATACCTCCTAAAGAGCAATATATTGGAAGAAAAAGGTAAAGAAGTGCTATGAAGTCATTTGCCAGCTTCATGGCGTGCAATCATGCTACTCCACAGAGATGTAAGGTACAGACAGAGAAAACTTGTATTTGGGAAAATTGCACACTTTATATACTTGTGACAGGCAAGAAAGAGCCAGAGCGGGAAGCACTGTAAAAAAACTACTATTGCACAGGGCCTTTCCTCCACCGCAAGCGTTGTAGTAAATGATGGCGAGGGGGCGTCGTTGAACTTTGCCCTAGACACCAGCGATTATAGTGCTAGACACAACCTAAAGAGTACCCTTGAATGTTACTGTACCTATGTACCTTACTTCTCTGTGGCTACTCCGAAGGTAGCATATAATTTAAAATCAGGAAAATGGTGAGATGCTGTTTCTTTGAACAAAACATCCTGAGATCTGGTGCATGCAGGGACATGGAATTGAAGCTTGTGCAGTAGGTATTATATCCATATCCCCACTAATGATTAGAAACAATAGAGAAAGATCAGCATCTTTAACTTTTTCCAGCTAGTGAAACCAGGGTGTGATGCTTCGTCAGTTCCTCAATGGGTCACTATAGATAGCCAATTATTTATTCCCCATGATTTATTGATCAGTCACTCTTTGATTCTCCCTCAGGGCCGGCCCCAGGGGTGGGCGGACCGGGCGGTCACCGAGGGTGGCGGGGCCGGGGTGGCGGAACGGAGGTAAGGTATGTCGACTAATGAATCTTAGGGTGCCTTATTCCGGAGGTGAGTGAAAATTTAAAAACGTACGTTTTCATGTCCCTGACCTTTTACTTCGTAGCTACTGGATTTGTAGTTTATTATTATGTGTTTTAGTATTTTTTGGGATGGGGGCAACATGTTACACACATTTATTTGGTTTTAAATAGGTTCTAGGTATTTTTTTCGTATTTTTAAAGTCTCGAAATTCACGACCATGACGTGTCCCTAGGGTACATTTTCCAACTTTCACGCTGTTTTTAGACTAATTATTCATGCCGGAATATATAAAACCATATTTTTATGTCATCAATGGTTATTAAACTTACAAAAAAGGAGCATATTATAATTTTATTGTCATTGCAAACTGACTACCATGACATAATAAGTCTGTCCCTCGATTTGGCGTCACGACCATTTGGGAAAAAATTTCAACTTTGAAGCACAACAGTGGCAAGCCTGGCGTTGATGGAGTCAGTTGGTTTTAAAGACTAGTTCGGGGTGTACGTCAGGATTGTAGTGCCGGTCGTTTCGAGTTGAAAGGAGGAATTACAAGATTAATACAGGAAAGGTTGTGTTTTTTGTAATTTTGGTGTGTCCATGACCGTACATAGTCATTCGATGAAGTAGACATGGTGTTAATTTTTGTTTATAAGATATTTCAATTGCTAGATTAACCTAGAAGTCCACTTTGTATCCTCGAACATGAGGTGCAGAGCTACCACCAGAACAGAGCCAAATAACACGTAATTTCACGACCAAAGTTTCACGACCATCGCGGGTTTTTTCACGACCTATCCAGCCTTATGGATTATAGTGTGTTTGGTCGTGACAATAACTTTAATATAATTGTAATTTGAACAGTTTAGTTCAATTGAAACACATATTTTTATTATAACTAACAGTATAATTAAAGGATTGTTTAGAAAGATTTAGATTTTTTTAGAAAATTCACGACCGTACCGCTTGTCCCTGACCATCACGTTTATGATTTCTATCATAAAAATTTCAAAAATTAAAATATCGTCATATTTCAATGTTTTATACACAAAAGAAGCACGCCTCTATGCAAACATAACGATTTTTCGGGTCTCAGGTAAGTTTTTTCGGAGTTATACAAACTTAAAAAGATATTATTGGCTTTTTTCAATTTTTTTGAGTTTTTTATTTTTTTTCTAGAAAGACCAAATATACTAAAAGCTCAGTGACCTTTTTAATGTATAATGGTCATAAAAGTAAATTAGTTTATAGCAAAACATAGTTATAAAAATAATATTAACTATTTTTAATATTCATTTAAACGTCTGTTATGGTCGTGACAGGATTTTGTGTTTTTCCACTAAAGATGCTCTTTTAAAAAAAAACTACCAAAGATATTGCGTTACCATGGACATTTTATGAAACTTCAAATGTTAATGAAATCAAAAAAATAATAAAAGTTTTGAAAAAAAATGGGAAAAAATTTGCAAAGTGCTTTCCCTGAAAACGTACGTTTTTAAATTTTCACTCAGGTACAGTAGTGTAGTGGGTTGTATTGTTGTGTACGCTCCTGACAATCCGCCACCACGCAGACTGGTGGCAAGATGCACGGCCGCCTTTAACTACAGTAACCTATCTTTCGTAAATAAAAAATACCATTAGCTGCTTCCAAACAAAACAGCTGTTACAACACCACTTGCGACGTTACCACTTCGAAGGCCGCAGCCTGGAGTTAAAGGCGGCCGTGCAAGATGCCACCTCAACAACCTGCCGAGAGGTGGCATGACGTGCACATTTCCCTCAAAGTGCCACTACCACTTTCGATAACCAGCTACCTTACTGCGTTACTTACTCTTAATTTGGTAACAGGTTGTCAGAGCGGTACTTTGACACGTCACCTTGTATGCAATATTAACGTACTACTGCATGTAAACATGGATGAAAAATAGAAACATCTTCGTGGGTCAACCGATATAGCCCATAGTATTAATTTTGTTTTATTTTGGAAGTGTCTGTTTGAAGATCAATAAATATATTTTTAATTTAAATTAATAAATTAAACTGTCCACGAAACACTGAAAACGATTAGCAATTATTATTCGTAACTTACCTATAATTTCTTATTTATCTGCCAAGTAGTGAGACCTCATTGATACTACGGGACTATGTTTTATTTATGATACTCCCTTCCTACCCATGTTTACATTACGGCCACCTAATTAATTGAGCGGAGCGAGCGGAGCGAGCGAAGCTCTTATACGTCGACTCTTATGCATTTCGTAATACGCAAACTCCTCCTAGACGGCTGAATCAATCGTTTTAAAATTTTGCATGGTGATAAAGACCATATCGGCGAGTGCCAAAGCATCTATAAGGCGTTAAAGAATTCTCTCAGGAATCCGCCCCACTGGGTCTCAAAGTTTCAATGTAATCCTTATGGAAGCAGTATTTGACACATAAACAAAGACATCAGCTGTTGACTTTTGAATGCAGTAGATAAAGAAATAGCTGATAGCATTGTTCCACAGATATTAGAATAGAAACGGTATGGATCATAAATATAATCAAAAGACGACACTAGCTTGAGATCCGTGACGTAGGAAATGGTGAAGGAAGTTGTAAAGGTGAGCAGTCTGGATGAGTGTGGAAACTGTTAATGACAATTAGATTTAGGTATCTGCAATCCTAAAATGCTATGGGAAGGGAGGAAAACAGGTCTGCAACGTAGGAAGTTGTGAAGGAAGTAGCCAAGGCGAGCTGTCCGGAGTGTGGAAACTGTTTATGACGATTAGATTAAGGTATACACAATCCCAAAATGCTATGGGAAGGGAGGAAAACAAGTCCGCGATGTAGGAAGTGGTGAAGGAAGTATCAACCTGGGGGCGAGTTAGCGTAGCATACGAGCTAACTTGAAGGCAAGTAAGCGCAGCGAATGAGCTCCAACCTAAGGTGAGTGAGCGTTGCAAACGAACTTCAACCAGGACATGATTGAGCCAAGCGAACGAGCTCATCTTGAAAATGAACGAGCATTTGACATAAAACCACATTAGGACAGGACGACGTCTGTCGGGCTAGCTAGTTAATTGATAAAATAAACCTTAAGATCATTGATTATAAAGTCCTTGGCTAATTAATCATTGATGTAACACTTTTTTACATTCAGTTTCTAAAATTTGCTGCCTACCTGTAGCTAACTGCAACCCATATAGGCCTAACCAATGATGTTAAAAGGATGGATGAACGGCTGAGAAATAAAGGTTGACTTGTTATTATTGGAAATGGAAACTGCAGCAGCAGCGAATGATTTGCATAGAAGAACGGGAGTGAGTAATGGTTGTTCGGTTGTTGTCAAATGATCTGTTTACCTATTACGAGAAAATATTATCTTAAGTTAATTAAATTTTAATCAATTATTTAAAACCATGCTTTAAAAGTTGATTGGTTAGTCTTATTTGCGTAGACCTTTTTACCCATTATTGATAATTTTTATATCGCTGTAAAATTGACTGGGCCTTGTGCCAGTTCATCTGTGCTGAAGTGATGTTCAACACAAAATAAGGGTTTGTTACACACCTTATTCTTGATGGAGTAAATTGATAATTTTTATATTCATAAAATGGTTTAGGTTAAACAAATGTCTAACAAAATGGAAGAGAGCAATTCACAACCATCCTCTTTAGATACAGGTAAGCTTAGGCTAAATAGTTTTTAGGTCATATCAGAAAGGCATTCTTTCTTTGACTAAGTTTCAAAATTATAAGTCTAAGGTGCAAATAGGCCTATAATCCAACTTGGCCCCCTAACATGCAAATTATATTATCCTAGCAAATTAAAGGATGTTGTAGCCTAGGCCTAAGTTAGCTCATTACTAGGAACTGCAAAACCAGTTTTAATTCCTTGACGAATAAAGCATCGATAGGACTCTAGGCCTAACCATAATATACCTTTATAAGATAGGCCTACCTGTTTTATTTCTTCTTTCACTGACGTTATTTTCTCTGCTGTCAATGAGGCAAGGGAGGGAATTGACAATAATTATTTATTTTTAGTGTTTATGTGGGTGTTTCAATGTGATTTGAGCATGTTTTGTTGGAGTTACTAGGCTAGGCTAGGCTATCTTAACTGTAATGTTAAGTATTCGGTAAACTTAAGTCTTACATACAATAACTTAACTTACGTAGGCCCTATTATCACCGGATGACATTTTCAATTGATAGCCTAGGCCAAGCTATATTTATAAGTAATCACATTGGGTGCGGTGAAAATATCAGTGGGTGCTTCCCCAGGGCCTGAAAATCTTTGCGGCTGCACTTAACTTTAGGTCCTACACTCATTTGAATGAAAATATTGATCGATATATTGATTAATCGATTGTTTCATTCGATATATCGTTTGGTTAGTTAGGTAAGGTTAAAACGATATATCGAATGAAACAATCGAATAATCAATAACTTATTTTCATTCGAATAAGTGTAGCACCTAAAGTAAAGTGCAGTCATTTTTGCATTAAATCTTATCTTTTGTTTACATAAGTAAGTAAATAGGCCTATCCAGGTCAGAAATGGTGTTTTGAGCATCTTCCCCCAAAAATTTGTGTCCGAAATCGCCGGTCACCAACGCAATGACGTCTAAATTAGGCCTATAGTAAACATGTAAAACAAACACATTAAAATACACTAGGTACTTACTGTAACTTATTATTTACCTACAATTATTTATAAGCCGGCTTCCTCCCTCTCATTGTTTTTTACACTCCAACTGCGTCATGGAACTGGTTGAAAACAATTCCCTATGCACAATTTAAAGTCACTAAAACTAAACCTACAAACAATAGCCTAAGTACTGTATTGTCATATAGGCCTAACAGGCAAAAAACACAAAAGAAGTACGTCAATACCTAAGTGTGCAGTTATTAAATTTGTAGCCTAGGTAGAAATTTACAGATTACTGGTGACCGGCACCGGTCCACGGGAACGGCAGGCGAAACACACACACAATAGAGATTAGATTGAGGCTAGTAACGCACACGCAATAATTCCCGCCTACTCTTTTAGACAGAGCCGCAGTGACTGATTCATTTGATAGGGACTTGGCCGAGCACCGGGGACCGGGCTGGCCCGCACACAATTTTTGTGGCCGGTCCTTCGTGACCGGCCCGCACTCGAGGTGTTAATGTAGCCTAATAACTAAATGATTTTCTTTGTGGGTCTTTCCGAGAAGAAGACCGCAACACCATTCTTTTGAACATTGTTCCTGGCTTTTAGGTTATTATATGCCTAGGCCTAGTTTATGTTGTTTACAATAATGATTTTAAAGCAAGGTAGGTTACTTGTTGGCCTAAACTAAATTTACGTTTTTCTTAACTTGTGAAAAAAGAGGAATGTTCGCAAATTGGTGTCTTTATAAGATAAATTTATATCTTTTACAAATTGAGCTAACTTAAAATACAACACTTTTGTTCTTATGTTAAGTAATACATTGTTTGCTAGGCTGTTAAGTTTACTAAGTTAAGTTAAAGAATTCAATTTATTTCATGCGTTTAGGCCTAGCCTATTAAACTTATGTTATTTCACAGGTTCTCTGTGGAACTGTATCTCCCTAAATCTCATGGATTTGTAAATAACTTACTACCTATTGTACGGTGCTTAACTCAAAATAAGTTAACTTATTTGGGAAATAAGTAAAGTTCCAACTTAAAAGATTTTTCTAAAAAGCAACTTTAGACTTAACATAGTGTACAGTTCTGCAGAGAACCTGCAATATACAGGGTGTTTCAGTAAAGCGTAGCGGACTATGCAGATTCAGATTCTAAATGCAAATATAAGTCAACATTTTAGAATAACTTTTTTTCTATTTCGGCTTGGCTTAGCCGTAATCCGCCATTATGTATTTTTTTGAAAATAATTAATAACTCAAAAACCCTTAGGGATATGTTGATGAAACTTGGTATAAACTTTAAGTCTACAAGTACAAACATTCTCTGAAAATATCTTTGATCAGGCTCATCAAATTTCAAAATGGCGGCCATTAAAAATTTTCTTTTAATGGCTGGTTTTCATAGAGTATTACTTTAAAAAATTTAAATGGCCGCCATTTTGAAATTTGATGAGCCAGATCAAAGATGTTTTTGGAGGATGTTTATACCTGTATACTGAAAGTTAATACCAAGTTTTATAAAAATATCCCTAAGGGCTTTTGAGTTATTAATTATTTTCAAAAAAATACAAAATGGCGGATTACGGCCAAACTAAGCCGAAATCGAAAAAAAGTTATTCAACATTTTCGACTTATTTTTGCATGTAGAATCTGAATCTGCATAGCCCGCTACGCTTTACTGAAACACCCTGTATTATTGCATTAATAATAACAGACAAATGGAATAAATATAGACCGTCAGTTGTGCTGGGGTTAGTACAAGTTCTGGTGTCCACCGCTAGGTTTGCCGTGTAGCTGCGGCGCATACTGCTGCAGCTTCTGCTGGTCACATACGGCTCCTGCGCTCCTTGCCTGCAGCAGTGTGCGCCGTAACTACACAGCACTCCTAGCGGTGGGCGCCGGAACCTTCCTTTGACAGTCTCTATTTGTCTATGATAATGAGTAGGCCTTTATCCATTTGGTTCCATACAAATATCGTATTGAATTTAATGCCATAAGATAATACCCCTGCCGGGCTGCACTTTAGTTTACGTCCTACACTCATTCGAATGAATATATCGATCAATATAATCGATTATTTAATTCGATATATCAAGTTTGGTTACCGAATGAAATAATCGATATATTGAATAATCTATATATCAAATAATCTATATATCAATGTTCATTCAAATGAGTGTAGGACGTAAACTTAAGTGTAGGCCCCGCTGCAGGAAACCTGCGGACTAAGCGAATTTCCATTCGTCTGAATTAAATAAAATAAAAAAAACAGTTTTGGGTTAAATATTGTTAGTTTTGTTTATTATGAATAGCCTACAAACGTAAATAAATCAAATCAATTTCATCTTTACATTGGCAAAAAAATAAACCATATTTTGTAAGTTAATGGATATTTGAATTGGATAACCATCGATATTAATTATTATTCATCAGATAATATATTACTGGTTCTCTGCGGAACTGTACCCGTAACATAATAAAAATTAGGCCTAGTTCAAACTTTAATGTTAAACAGACTTTTAGCAAATTTCCCAATAGGGAAGTAGCTATTACCATAGGTGGCACGGTAAGACCTAGACCCGGGACCGATTTACTTTTTCATTTTGATGTCTCCAGAGGCCAAAAACACCATTCGTTCAAATGTTTATATATACACGTCCGTGAACGCGATAACTTGAGTAATTTTTTTCAGATTTTGATGAAATTTGGTTCAAAGGTGTAAAGCGAGATAAACTTGAATGAGTTCGCGAACCAGCATGATCGAACCATGGGTACGGGGTTTTACGGGGGGTTTTATGGGGTAAAAATTTGTTTTTCTCACTTTTTACCCTCAAAACACAAAATTTCCCTTTAGACCTTTGTTAAGAGCTTAAAAAAACAAATTATATATTAGGCCTATATAAAAGTATTTTTGTACGGTTATTGGTAACGGAGAAAATTAAAAAAATTGTAAATTAAAAATTCTCATGTTATTCTTATGGAGGATATTGTAAAATGTTGTAGTTTGCTTGTTTATGGATATATTTGATCAAACTTGGCAAATTTATTTATTTTATAGGCCTACTAAGCTATCAATATTTTACTAAAAACACACTTTATTAGTTTCCTTGTAGCAGCAAACCTAGGTACTCGTTAAACCTAATGCTATTTAAATATATGTAATTGAAAATCAATTCAGACAAATGGAAATTTGTTTAGTCGGCAGGTTTGCTGCGGCGGGGGTATTTTGTTCTTATGATAAGTTAGAGATTTTGGATGAGTTCTGTCATTCTCCTCTGGGAGCCACTGATTTATTTCTATAACTTAACTTATGGTAAATTAGCACCTTTTCATCTCGGAACATTACCTTAGGTATCCTTTGCTTAAAACCATATTAAACTTAAGTTATATTGGCTAAGCTGCCAGTTTCTCTCTCTCTTAGTTCCTTTAGTTAAGTGCTTACTATACTTAATTTTGTAGCCTAAGGGATTTAATGTTGAATATTTGAATATTAAGGTCCTCAGAGCTAATTTTTAGTTCTTTCCTATTTTGTGTAGTTAGGTTGCAATCCCATAGACCTATATGTGTCTAAATGCAAGATTTTGGAATTTCTAAACACTCTGTCAAAAATTAACTTAGAATCTTATTGTTGCATCTAAAGATAAGAAAATTAGATTACGTTGTTTTTAAATTTTGAAAAATTAGTTGTACCTCAAGTGATTGTTAGATTTATTTTAGCCATCTTTTTTGCAGAACTACTGTTCTTGATCACCAAGTATTTGGAGTCAGGTCCTTGCAGTTTGACTGCTCGGGTGAGTAACATCATTATTAGAATAAGTTTAATTAACTCAATAACCACTCAACCTTCAAAACATTGATTGGCTAATCCGGATCCTTGATTCCACAAAACTATCAGTAGTTGTGGTATCTAATTCAATACTTGGTGACTTTAGATTCGAGACAAAATTGTGAACATCTCTCTTGGTCACCAAGAAGTTTTAGTTATATAAGTTGGATTAGGCAGTTCAAGTCAACTGGATGTTTGTATGCCGGGAAGGGATTGGGCCGACCTTAAACTCCGCCAAACGCTGTGGAGAGAATCAAAGCGAAGTCTGTATTAGCCATTTGTTGACAGGCTTCATGCTACTCAATTATGAAACTGAGACAAAACATAACCTTGTCAAAATAAACTTATAACCATGCCCTTTCCATTGTTGTAACAATCAGCTGTTTGAAGTCATGGAAACATACATAGCAACCGTTAGTTTTGCACCATTCTTTTTTAATAGCACTGTAGTTATTAACCTGTTTAATTAGATCACATGTTTTATATTATCTTTATATTGTTTCAGATTTTAAAACAAGAACTAGTTCAGAAAAAGGTGAGTGTGATTAGGCTACTGAACTTTTTATGGAGTTGGGTATCGGTAAATGTAACAAAGTAGCCTTTTGTATGTTAAGTCCCAATGAAATGTTTAGATTTGTTGAGCTTTTTGTAACCAAATCTAAACCAGAAAGTGAGAAAGGGATATAAATACCTTGTGTAGGGGACAAGGGAAAATCACATTCAAAATTGTTTTTCTTCATTGTATATGCTTCCACAAGGGTACTACCAACTCTGCCTGTAGATTATAAACAGAGGTAGGCCTAATTGTACGGCAACACAAATGCTTTTAATGCAAGCAGTCCAAACCCATGTGTTAGTGCTTTTTGTGATATTAAAAAAAATTACTCCACAAATCATTTTTAATGCATTGTCGATTTTTGAATGTGTATTAACTCATCAACATAATATACTCTGTTTCACCAATTTCTCTTTTGATTTAAGCTTTTACCGAAGCGTCTCGACTGGGAAGGAGAAGAACATGAACAATCATTAAGTGAATTTGTAAGTACCACAATGTAGATAGTTATTCAGGATTTCATTAAGCCTATTAATAATCTGTTGGATGATCAGTAGATGAATTACATTTAAGCTTAAATAATAATTAAAACAAATAATAAACATAATTTTAGTAAACTAAGTGGATAATTTTCCAAAAATACCAACTCATTCTAGCTATGTGCTTTAGTTCATAAAAAAAAATTCTGTGACATCCTGATCTTAAGAAGAAGGGATCTGAACTGAAGCAATTACATTACTTACATTCTCCAAGCTATTTGTGTATAAGTTTATGATAAACAGATGAACAAAAACCAAGGTTTTACATTTCCCGAAATAATTATTTGTTTTGAATTTACTAAAGCTTAGTAACATCAACAACCAAGTAACATCAATTTAATTTACTGAGCCAAAAAATCTCTTTCTTTGCAGGAACGGAAGTATCCACACATTCGTTCAACCCATCTTCTAGAGATCTGCAGTCGCATAGGTCCGATCCTCGACCGTGAGATCAAGCCTAATGTGAACGGACTGTCGACATTACTAGGAGCTGGACGTCAAAGTCTTCTAAGAACTGCCAAAGGTAATTATGTCTGTATTTTGTACATGACTTGCTAACGATAATTTCAGAGTTTGGTAGGAATAAGGTACAGATAAGAAATCCCTGACACTGTTCCTGCTCATGACCACGGCATTTATTTATTTATTTCCTCTCAACGGTTACACCATTTTACAGCGAATATATGGTATGTTACATGTTGTATCTAATAGCCACAAAATATTGAGCAACAGTAACTACTCTAGTAATAAATATACAATAAATAACAAATAATATAACAATAACAAAAGCATAAAGAGATTTACACACATTAACAATAATATTATAGTATCAACAATTTTGACTAGATCAAGTAAGTGTAAGTGATTGACGTTACAAACATGGCTGATATTGACAAACAAAACAATGAAGAAATGAAAAAAAAATTAAATTGTAGGACACTTGATTATGTATGAAGCCTGACTACATTGAGAAACAAGAAACAGTTAATGATACAGAGATACAAAACAACAGCAAAACAACAACAACAACAGGGAGATAAATAAAATTTGAAGCTATGTCGGTGTGAAGGCATGTCGGCTTCTTAAAGAGATCTTTATTAATTTTACCATACCTTATTCGTAATCTTTAGTGTAATTTTGTTGTGTATTTGTATTGACGATGAAGCAGTTCTTACCTTTTTTAATTACCTTTTTTAATTACCTTTTTTATGAATGGTGTTTAATCCTGAAGTACATCTAACGTGACATATTTATCAATAATTTGGAACTGCAGACAACTAAGGTATTTATAGAAACATAAACCTATGGTGAAAAAAATTAGGCACTTATCTCCTCTATGATGACCGAGGTGTTTCAGTTATCAAATTATGTTCTTCAGAGAGTGTGGAAATAGGTAGAAATTGTAGTTTTTGAAAGCAGCCTTTTTTTCTAATTATCAGGTTCTTGTAAATAGTTTTACAAATGTATGTATGTTAATTGTATGTTGAGTATTGATTTAGTATTTTGTTTTTTCTAGATGTTGAGAAACTGTTCATGCACGTTGTGGAATATTCGGCAAGATTCAACCATCGAGCTCTCTACCCACCTGTCACTTGCTCTACTCATAACATTGGTAAGTTTGACTAACTTTAACACTGGTAATCCATAATACATGACATGTTTACTTTACTTTAACCCCTTAACCGCCACGCACGAGATATGACGGGCGATACTAGTTTTCAGAGCAACCGCCACGTACGAGTTATCTCTTGTTGACGTAATCAGCTGTTGTGTTTTATTTTTAACAGCTCACTTCCCGCCTTATCTCCGGTATACGTACGTAAACCAGTTGTTGACAGTGCTGCAATCTGGTGGATTTTAGTGGTATTATAGGTCAGTAATGATCCCGATCAGTTCCGTTCGTAGTTTCAGTAAAACTCGTGCTTGCGGAAGCTTACGTTTACTGTGCGTGTCATTATAATTGTGGTTTTTGGTGGTTATTTACTTGGTAGTGTTGAATGAGTAGTAAATATTAGTCGTAATGGCTGGTGACATGCTTGAGGATGACGATTTATTAGAGTTCTAGACTTTATTGTAGGCCTAATTTTTATTATAACTCAAGAAACCCGCGAACCCCCCCCCCCCCCCCTCAAATTTTAGTATTGTTAAAGATAATGTTTTTGAAGATGTCTACAAACAATATTGATAACTATTTTCTTACCATTTTTTAAATGACAAGTAAAAATCGTCAAAAAAACAGCAAAAATAAGTGGCAATGGCGGATTTTGACTAGGCTACTTAGACGGCGGTTAAGGGGTTAAAATAGACAAAGAATGATCTCAGCAACACTTTGTTTTTGCCACAAAACGGACTATATATTAGGCAGTTATGTCTATCTCTTTTCAGTCCTTTTTACTAGTCCTTCTCAATACTTATATCATCCATACATTTTCATCCTTCATCGTACACTAGTCCTCCTAAATATTTGTCTCATCCATTTTCATCCTTTATCATATACTAGTCAATCCTGATACTTTATGATCATCTCTTTTAAATTTTCTTTTACTAGTCCCTCAGTTGTCTATTCTCATTCTTTTTCTTGCTCTAGTCCCAACACTTATGTGCACTCTTGCCAATACTTTCTCTATGTTTGCAGTGAAAGTGTTAAATGGACGAGAGAACTCTGGACCGTTACCGAGGAGTTATGCCGTGTCAAATCAGCTGTACAGCAAAACCCAGCTGTTGTGCTGTACACTGGGACATTTATCGGCGGTCTACTGCCTGCTGTTTGATCGTACCGGCAATTATGTCATCACTGTAAGTTTGCAAAATATACGGAGTGTGTCTGCATGCTTCATTCCATGTTACAACTTTGTACCTTTATTTTAAAGGTTAGGTCAGTGAGTAAAATAAAGTCCCAAAATCTTAGCGTAATGTAGACCAAAAGGGTGTCGAGTTAGTAAAATGCTAGGTTATAGTATGCTAGGTTATATCGTGTATTGGCTTAAAGTTATACCTGAACCTGAGATGGGTTACTGTACGTTTTCTTTTGATTATCATATTAAGATACTATTTTTACTGCCGTATACAATAATATTAAAATATTATAATTTAACTTGTTGAAGAAAAACTTAACTGTAGCCCAACTTATTCTAATAAACTCTAGGTCATAGTGTTGACTAAAATACTGATTGGCAAAGCATGTAATGGGCTCAGTTAATTAGTTAAACAATTCCAACAATACTAATTTGTGTTTTTTTTTCTGTATTGCTTTCTTGTCCGGTACATACTTTGCAATCAATTTTATACTAACTTCCTGATGAGCTAGAGACTTTAAACTTGAAACATAGCTCACAAATGGATGACAATGCAATATTATATCTTTTAATTTTCATATTTCCCTTGGACTACGCCCCATGGGCTTCCAAATTTTCCATGTTTACATTTGGAAAGAATGTAAATTATCATAAGTCAGCTGTAAATACTTAAATTTGACAGTTCACAGAGCAGAGGTTAAGAGTACAGGTTCTGCTCTCGAGACATTCTAAAAATATAAAACAAGCATTTCAAAGTAAAGATAAAACATCTGATTTCAGATAATAAGGTTTGGGTATCATGTAGCTTAGACGAGAAGGTATAGCTAGTGCTTCAGTCTTGCTATGTTTAGCTCTTGTGTTCCAGTATTAATTTCCGCAAGTAGCCAATGTTCTGTGTTACTGAAGCTACCCAGTATCTATTTTGCCACCAAGGTTGCTTTTTGGGTTGTGAATATCACATTTTACTGATAATACAAATGTTGTGGAATAATTTACGATTAAATTGGTTTGCAGGGCGCAGACGACTTGTTGGTCAAAGTGTGGAGTGCTATAGACGGCCGGTTGCTGGCTACTCTGAGGGGAGCGTCGGCCGAGATCTCAGACATTGCTATCAACATGGAGAACACATTGTTGGCGGCCGGCAGCATAGACAGGCTCATACGAGTGTGGTGCCTTCAGACTGCTGCTCCAGTGAGTAATTTTTTATAACCCTTCCTCACATTGTAGGACGCTAGGCTCTGTACCGGAACCATTTTGACACTCCAGGGGGTCACGACATTAAACAAATTCCTTGGTTGATTGGCGAGATTTGAATTTGAACCCAGGATCGTGAGGATCTAAGTCTCACGCTCTACCATTAGATCTCCATGCTCCCCAGTGGCATTGGTCACATGATTCTAATGTTGTTGTAATTTCTCACAGAACTTAAACCAAAGGTTTACAATTGCTTTAAATTTAACTCAGGATTCAATAATGCAAATAATAGTTTAACATGTAATATATGAGTAGTAAAATATTATAAACCCTCAAAATGTTAGAAATTATCTCATTCATTTTATAATCTCAGACTTAGGAGTTATTTTAGTGTATCTTGATGAAAAAGTTTTCAACGTTTTAAAATTAGTCCCATATTCATATTATGTCAGTGTCAAGAGTCCAATTTATTTCAGATTTGATTGGATGGTAAAAATGTTATTATTGCCTGTATTTTTGTCACCTTAAAGGCAAGTAAAAAATTGTATATAACTTATAGGGATTTGGGATTTTATTTTTTAAGTATTGGTGTTGAGATTTAAAATTTAAAACTGTGTTCAGTAAGAGAAATCATGTTTTTACAAAACATTGAACATATATTTTCCCACAGGTGGCAATACTGACATCTCACACAGGCATGATCACTGGTGTCAACTTCTGTCCGGGAGTCATAGACGGGAGATATTACTTAGCCTCCACCAGCTCCGACGGCTCTGTCGCTATCTGGGGATACTCGACCAAGAACAAAGTTACCACTTTTAAGTAAGTCTCTGAAACTGCTGAGTTAAAGTAATCTATTTATGGGGGTTCTTGGTATATTTGCTTGTAAACGATTCACACTCACTTTGTTTTCGGTTAACTTTTGGGTATGATAATTCAATTCAAAACTTCTTTATTCTGTCACATGTAAATTGTTTACAAAGAATAGAGTCAGACCTAACCTAAATTATACATATTGTTATTAATATCTAAAAATACATCCCATTTGAGTTTTCAGCTCTTAGGATAATATATACAACATACGTTACACACATCACTCCAAGAAATCATGGAAAAAAAACTACAACTGAGTCTTAAAAATTAATAAAAGCAATAGCAATACTTAAAATAAGGATTATATACATACAGTTATTACTATATCCTAGAATAACCATGTGCAGCAAAGATTTTTCTAATTGTAATTTTCAGGTATGTCTTAAATATAATAATTTTGACTATGAGAAACAATTTTGGAGAGAGTAAAACGTTGATTCAATCAAGTATGCCTTCAATAGTCTCAAAAACTTATTTTGGTTTTTTTCCAATTTAATATTTCCCGGGAGGCCATCAAAAAATCTATTTCCGACATATATGTTGTTTTCTTTTTGAAAAATTCCAAATTATGTTGTTCTACTAAACGATGAGCTCTAGTATTATAAGAATGTGTTGTATTGCCAATCGAAATCCTATTGCCAAGTAATGTAAATTTTATTGTTTCATAAATTTATAAACTGTAAACTGTGAATATTTTTAAATCTTTAAAAATATGTTTTACAGAATCTTTTGATTTTAAATGAAACATTATTCTTAAAGCTCTTTTTTGCTGAATCAGAATTTTATCCATTTTCTTCTTTGTTGTTGATCCATATATACAAACACCATAAGCAATATGTGAATGTATTAGAGCAAAATATATGGATTTTAAGGTTTTACTATTACAGGAGTAGACCAGTCTCCTCAAAGCATATAGACCACTTGAGGTTTTATTCATAATATGATTAATATGGTTGTCCCAAGATAGGTGTTCATCTATAGTCAAGCCTAAGAATTAGATTTCATTTAAATGATTTAGTATTTCATGTTCTAGGAATATTGTTGGACTTATTTGATTTTTTCCTTTTTTTCTTGAAAAAGATACAAAACTTGATTTACTGGAGTTTAATAGCAGATTTTTACTATTTAAAAAGTCTTTAATCAGTGATGAGCCAACGTAGGATGATATTTCTATGTTCTCTTTATGAGACAATGACGTTGGTATCATCTGCATAAAGACACACTTTTCTATTTCTGTCCCCCATCATTCTAGGTAGCCCCTTTAGGTAACGTAGAATCAGTAAAGGGCCGAGAATAGATCCCTGAGGGACACCATATTGGATTGGTAATGGACGAGAAGCAAATTTTACTTTATACATAAACTTCTGATGATCTGTAAAATACTCTATTTCTACATATTTTTTCCTTTCTGTGAGGTAGGAGCAAAACCAAGCCAATTCTGTACTTTTTACACCTAGAGAGCTTATAACTTGGATCAGTTTGCAGTGCTCAACACTATCAAAAGCTCGGGATAAGTCCAAAAAAATGCCAACGACTTTCACCTCTTATCAACAGATTCGATTATTGACTCAACAAACTCAATACCGGCTGTTATATAGTCGACTTATTTGGCCTAAAACCATGCTATTCATTATCCAGCAACATGTTTGATTCGGAAGGTAGTTTGAAAATTGGTTAAAAACAACTTTCTCAAGGATTTTTGAGAATACTGGAAGCAGTGATATAGGCCTGTAACAATTAATATCTTCTGGATTACCTTTTTTGAAAATTGGAACTACTTTGGCTGTTTTGAATTGTTCGGGGAACACTCCTGTTATCAGTGAATAATTAATTATATGAGTTAAATGTGAGCAGATTAATGGCAACGCTGTCTTAATGGTTGATATAGGTATTTCATCATTGCCTGATGAGGGTTTATTTTCAAAAGATAATATTATTTTTTCAACATCTCTCTCCGTGACAGTTGAAAATTGAAAAGTTGTATTTAAATGTGTTTTAAACTGAGTATTTGCTGGTGGCACTATGGTTATTTTAGGAACTATAAAATCTTTTACAATATTGACAAAAAATGTATTAAAAGTTTCGCAATACATTTGATACATTTGAAAGATTATTGTGGATCATAACAATGGGCGTAAAACAAGTTTTCACTATATTCCGCGATCTGGATTCTGGTTCTGTTCTAAGGGAAGAAAGTAATTAAAACGTCACAAGACTAAAGGTGGAGTATTACAAAGGAAACACTCTTAGGCCCGGTTCACATGAACGACTTACCTAGCAGGCTAACATCGTTCGTGTGAACCGGGCCTTAGAGAACTTCTTGGTAGTCGAAGAAGCTGTAAGAAGCTAGTAAGAATGAAAAATACTGAAAGAAAAAAAACAATTAGTTCTAATAGGAAGTGTTCTAAGCTTACAACTTTTCCGTTTCCAGCCCCAAGCCGATCCAGTTCATCGAGCGCACAAGGCCCGGCAGCGCACAGATGATCAGTGCTGCATTCAGCAGTGGGGGGATGTTCCTGGCGGCCGGCAGTGCGGACCAGTACGTGAGGGTGTACAAGTTGTCCGGTCCGACGGGACCTACTCGGGTACTGGAGGTGGAGGCTCATAGTGACCGTGTAGACAGCATCCAGTGGGCCAATCATGGGCTGCGGTTCGTCAGCGGCAGCAAGGACGGGACAGCACTCATCTGGAGATATAGCAGACAGCAATGGAAGAATCTGAGGCTTAGCATGGCTACCAAGTTACCAAGGTGAGACACAGAAATTGACTTTTGAATGTCTTGGTGTGAAAGAGTGTCTACTGGCTTTTACTATGAAGCTCTGAGTTTAAGCTGTAGCCAATTATAAAACGAAAATTAATCAATTTTAATGAGCCCAGTGTAATGTGTTGCGACCTTTTACACAATGGATACACAGTCTATTAGCCCCTGGAGTTTTTATCCTAATCAGCAAGCTGCATTTCCATTAAAATTAGGGATGGACGGGTCCCGAAATTTCGGGAATTTTTCGGGAAAAAAATATTCCCGATTATTGGGACGGGATTACATTTGACTCGGGAATTTTTCGAGTCATACCGACGATCGCGCCGTGACCGCGAGTCATACCGACGATAACCCCGTGACCGCGGAGTCATACCGACGATCGCGCCGTGACCGCGAGTCATACCGACGATCGCGCTGTGACCGCGAGTCATACCGACGATCGCGCCGTGACCACGAGTCATGACGACGATCGCGCCGTGACCGCGGAGTCATGCTGACGATCGAGCCGTGTTCGCGAGTCATACCGACGATCATGCCGTGACCGCGAGTCACCGCGAGTCATGACGACGATCGCGCCGTGACCGCGGAGTCATGCTGACGATCGAGCCGTGTTCGCGAGTCATACCGACGATCATGCCGTGACCGCGAGTCATACCGACGATAACCCCGTGACCGCGGAGTCATACCGACGATCGCGCCGTGACCGCGGAGTCCTACCGACGATCGCGCCGTGACCGCGAGTCATACCGACGATCGCGCCGTGACCGCGGAGTCATGCTGACGATCGAGCCGTGATCGCGAGTCATACCGACGATCGCGCCGTGACCGCGAGTCATACCGACGATAACCCCGTGACCGCGGAGTCATACCGACGATCGCGCCGTGACCGCGAGTCATACCGACGATCGCGCTGTGACCGCGAGTCATACCGACGATCGCGCCGTGACCACGAGTCATGACGACGATCGCGCCGTGACCGCGGAGTCATGCTGACGATCGAGCCGTGTTCGCGAGTCATACCGACGATCATGCCGTGACCGCGAGTCACCGCGAGTCATGACGACGATCGCGCCGTGACCGCGGAGTCATGCTGACGATCGAGCCGTGTTCGCGAGTCATACCGACGATCATGCCGTGACCGCGAGTCATACCGACGATAACCCCGTGACCGCGGAGTCATACCGACGATCGCGCCGTGACCGCGGAGTCCTACCGACAATCGCGCCGTGACCGCGAGTCATGACGACGATCGCGTGGTGACCGCGAGTCATACCGACGGTCGCGCCGTGATCGCGAGTCATGACGACGATCTCGCCGTGACCGTGAGTCGTACAGACGATCACCCCGTGACCCGCGAGTCACAAGTTACTATAGGTACCTGTAAATTGTTACCCATTTTTTGGTTTTTATAGATCAGTGCCACAAATGGTAAAAATTGATTTCGTATGTCTTTTTTTGGTAACTGCAATACAGTACTTTCTTTTTATGCACAGAAAAAAATCCCGTCCCGTCCCGTCCCGAAAATCGGGAAGGAAATAAAAATCCCGTCCCGTCCCGTCCCGAACTAAAAATTCAATCCCGTCCATCCCTAATTAAAATATATTATTTTACAAAAAGTTACCGGTATTCATTCAATTTGGCTACGCCAAAATTTTTTGTCAGAAATTAGCAGTATATTAGCACACTCTGTTGGTGGATCAATTCAACTACGTTCATTTTCATACCAATACCCTCTACAGTTTTAAACATTGTAATGTGGAATAGCCAAAGCTACCGATCACTGTAAGGTATTCACTTATTTTACTAAGAGTTCACATGAGTCAATCATTTTAATTTAAATCATTCCAAGTCATATATTTTTAACCCTTTGAGTGCCAACGTCCGGGGAACCGGACGTTTTTAAAACGAGCCAAAAGTGCCGACGTCCGGCCGACCGGACGTTTTTAGAACGAGCCAAAAGTGCCAACGTCCGGCTGACCGGACGTTTCGTAATGATCGAACAGTTGTCATAACAACCGAATGGATACTCGGATTCTTTTAACCCATATATTAACATTGAGTCGAAAGTTACTAGATGCGATACATCGATTTTCGTTGGTCGAAATATATCGAAAATTCGATTTTTACGAAATTTTAACCTAAAAATCGCCAGATCGCGCTCGGCATTTTTAGCGCGACCTTCGGGAAAAATCATCGGCATTTTTTGAGCGTTACTTTTATTTCTCGCCTGGCACTCTAAGGGTTAACTTAGCCACAGGACAAAATAGTTTTATTTTATTTTTATCCTCCAAAATAAAACAATTAACCATTCAATAAAAAAAATAATTTTGTGTTATTCGGTCAAAAAAAGGAATTTTATTGAGCCATATGAAAATCATAATTTTTTGTGGGATACCATGTAGAAACATGTACCGTGTTTTGATACCAAAAACAAGTTTGCAACTTGTTCAGGAACTGTTCATCTGTAAATAGTAGTTTTCACCACTAGGAGCAAAAGCAGCTGTTTTTGGTACGCAATAGAGCTTGGAAATACAATTGAGTTGAGTACCTAAGAGACACTTTCGCTCAGTGTGATGAACAACTATTTTCATCATACTGTAGAAATAACCTTATAATCGTTAAGTATTTGAGTTTAGTGGCTACATCACATCAAATTTGACACCTCTGTTATGTTGACAGAAAGACAAATGTAGCGGAGGACGTACCTCAGGGAGAAGAAGAAGCCAAACAGAAGGTGAAGGTGACCATGGTGTCGTGGGACTGTCGGGACAAGTGGGTTGTGACTGCATGCAGTGACCACACTCTCAAGGTAATATTTTGTTTAAACTTATGTCCTTCCACGGTTGTCAGCTAATACGACTAGTACAAGAAAATTTTGTATATGTGTGTTACTCTTTTGTTAAGTTGCGTTTACATTTTTTTACTATGGTTTCACTTAACCATAGTTAGGTTTTGGTTTAAGAGGGTGCTGTCAATAGAAGTTTTACTGTATTTTGGAAGCAGTGTTAGTTAAACAGGAATCCATCTAAGTAAAGGAAGGCTGAATGTAAATAATGTTGTAGGTTTGGGACTCTTTCACTGGGACATTACTGCAGCTCTTATCAGGCCACAAGGATGAAGTGTTTGTATTGGAAGGCCATCCTCATGACAATCAGGTAAAAAAATTGGTTTTATAATTTTTTCATTAGCAATAAAAACGTTATCATAGCATTCACATTGTGTCCCCTACCCTCTATTTGTTTTAATTTTGTTCTTTTGGTTTCCGATTTTGACCACAATACAATATTCTCTATGTGGTTTTGTTTAGCAATTTTACAGCTGTTGCTGGGTTTATGTACAAATCTTGTCTTTCAGGTGATATCGGACAAGAGAAAATTTAAATCTCAAAAAATGTTGTGTTAGGTTTGTTTTTTACTGTGATGGAAAATGTTTGTGATAATCCCTTTTTTACGGAAAGTAAATACAAAAATGTTAAATAATCATTGACACTCACTTTTACACGTATGCTGTTATTGTTTTATAAGACGGTAAATACATATAAAATATGTTATTGGCAATTGATTTCGATTGGACGATCCAATAACCATCAGACCCAATAAGCGAATGACCAATAGGCAAACGTCATTCGCCTATTGGTTCTGATATAAAAAACAGAGGGCCAGGCTTACAAGTTACCATAGGATTGCATCACAGCTGGAACTGGTTATTGTGCATAAAATTTATTAGGTCTGATGATAATTGATAAAGTGTTCAATATTAATAACAAACAATAGGCTGATTAAGAAGGTTAATCCATTAATATTCATTTCCCAAAAACGAACTTCAAACAAAGAACTTTTTGTGTTAATAGATCTTCATGAGTGCCGGACACGATGGTTTGATCCTCTTGTGGAACGTCGTCTCAGGCAAGATGATTGCTTCGTTCCAGAACAACATAGAGAACCAGGGTCACGGAGCTGTGTTTGACGCCAAGTGGTCGCCTGATGGTACGATGCTAGCGGCCACAGACAGTCACGGACAGATACTCATGTTCGGACTGGGCAGTAAACCAGCTCGAATGTTACAGGTATACGCTTATTTCGAGTGTAAAGTGTTAGTAAAAAATAATTTGAATTTTTCTGAGAAACAACAAACCGCTGTGCCCAAAAATAATGAAGAAGACTCAAGAACACTTAGTCTTCTTTCTTCTCCCTTCTGATGAAGTCCCTGATGAGTGAAAGCCATCTTTATCAGAGAAAATGTCGGGTGTATTTTGTGTAATGTTTTAATACCTAAAAATATAAACAACCCTTTTGTTGATTCTCTACTGTAATGGTATTTCTACTTTTTTGCATAGGTTTTTTTAGATAACACTCAGAAATACAGATGACTTTTTCAGTTATGGATCACCATCCTGATGTAGCCATATTATTGAGTTTCTTTGTCTAATGTGTCAATGTGTAATATTATATGACAAAATTCTGGCTAAACAAAGTTTTTTCTCTTGGTAGTTAAGATCACATTACAATCAAAATTGACATCTCGACTATAACTTTTCTTAGTTAAGGAATAGGCTATTAAGGCTATTCTGTTTTTATGGCTATTCTCTATACCTTTTCCCATCACATCCATAGAAAAACTATCCCGACTGATGGTGGCGCTGAAAGAATATTACCTTGACCGGATGGCCATGGTTTGGCGGGATGGCATGCGTTAGGCCTAGATGCAGCAGAGGGTGTATGTGTGAGTGACTGTATGTTAGGGAAGATGAATAAATCTATGCTATTTTATTACTTCTTATACTTCAAACTTTATCGTAAATTTTGTTAATATTAGTTTTTAGAGGTTAAAAACTGTAAGAAAGGACCATGAGGTCCTAAGTTCATCTCAGTATAGAAGGATTTTCATTTAATTTCATTTTGGTGTTTCAGTTGCCCAAAGAGTTATTCTTCCACACGGACTACCGGCCATTGGTGAGAGATGCCAGTCATGCTGTGCTGGATGAACAGACGCAGATGGCGCCACACCTGATGCCTCCACCGTTCCTGGTGGATGTAGACGGCAACCCCTACCCACCCCATCTGCAACGGCTAGTCCCCGGCAGGGAGAACTGTACTACGGAACAACTGGTGCCCAACATCATCTTCAACCAGGAGGGTGAGTGTGAGGTCTACTATGAATATAATTGGTTTGATTAGCAATCAAAGTGGTAAAATATAATACATCTTCTAATCTAACACAACTCGATATGTATGTACAAGTATTGAAAGGGCAATCAATCAATAAAAAATTCTTACTCATTGCGTCAATGTAATATGTGATTTATAATAACATGGATTTAAACAATACTATATAAATTTGAATGACTTGCAGGTACTTGCAGGCATTAATTGAAAGCTAGCCATGGCACTGCTGAACAATAGTCGCCTTAGGACCACTATATGGTGGACCAACCCTTGGGTCCACTTTAACCTGACAATGAGTCTAAGACTATACAAATTTAATTTAAAAACCCCCACATTTTAATAACAAAATAAATCACACAAAAGTGTAATAATCTGGTATTTTGCATAATTTAAGACTTGTTATACATATTTAGATACCGGTAGGCCATAGTTTTATTTATTCCTGGAATTAAAAGGAGAAAGTTCAATGCCGCAAGAGCTAGACAGTCGCTATGTCTAGGATATGCAAGGCTGTTTCTTTTTTTCTGTATCATATAACTGTGAAAGTCGAAATTATTATGTAAATTTGACAAATGTATGATGCTGATGTGTAGGCCAGCAAGAAGTGATCCAGGGAGTTCAAGATGCAAGATCTCACATCGACCAGATGATACTAGCGTTGGCACATCAGGTGAACCCACAGCAACCTTCACAGCACCGGCTGGCCACTACGTCTCCACGGACACAGCGTGAGTGTTGCCAACTTGACAAGCAATCAGAGCATGCAGAGTTAAAAAGTAATTGTATGACAGTGTTGGTTTTATTTTTTAAATGGTTGGCAACCTTTTTCAACCTTGCGTTTACCCGTCTAAATAATGGTACAATGAGTTCTGGGCAAGAAATCATTGACTTTCTGAAGCTTTCTTGTGAAGTAAACATACAAAAATTATATCAACCAGCTGTCACCAATTTTCTATTTTATACAAATGTAGATGAATGAGTCAGTACACTCTTACAGACGCTAAAATTCTATTCTGTACATAATTTTTTTTTGAGATAGTTGACATGACATACAAAATGGTACATTATAGCTTACAAGTCCTTCTACAAGTTTTTTTTGGTAAAAAGAGTCAGCATATTTTACATCAGCGCAATCTGTTGGTAGCTCATTTCAACTATGTCAAATTTCTTAAAAATACTGGCCAACACTTTTACATGGGAATGGAATGACCAGTTCTTTTCAACAGTCAGAGTTAAAGAGTATATGGATGTGTCAGTACCTGAAGACAATCCTGGGTGTTTATTGGTTCTTAGAAAAATAAGTGATTCCAGGAATGATGTGTTGATTCACTGATGTGTTACAGGTACAGGAGCTCGTAGAGAGGGAGATGTGGAAGGAGTCAGACAATCTAGAGGTAACTGGCAGAGAGATGAGATACGATGGACACAGAAGGTGATGGTCAAACCTCTGGACCTGGCATCGTTGAACACTGCTAGAGCCAAGATGTAAGTTGTGCACTTTGGTATGTGTGAAGAGGAAGAGAATCTAACATGAAAAGTCTGGAATGCTTTTCCAGGGTCTGGACAGTCCAAGGAATTTCTTGGAGATTACAATACAATGGGGTAGCAAATTTTGGCCCTCGTGTCACAGGCCAAAATCCAGTTGCTTTATAAAGTATTGATTGTGATGCTAAAATCTGTTTATTCATAATGTTGTACACAATCTCCCCCATATCACAATGAAATAGTGAACATCTTTCGCAGTCACGTCACAATAATTGTGATTATCTTCTGCAATTACGGCAAAAGCGTGGACGTCTCCTGCATGTACAGCAAAATCCTGAACCACAGTCATAGAAAAAAAAATCCTGAACACCTTTCACAGTCTTGGTCACTAATATCTTCTCGTCATCAATAACTTCTGTGGTTACGGCAAAGCTGTGAGCGTTTTCTGCAGTCACAGCGAAATACTGAACATCCTCCACGGACACAGCAAAATCCTGAACATCACAGTCTCGTCAAAATCATAACCTCTTCCACCGTCACAGCGTTTTTCTGAATATCTTCTATGGCCACATTGAAATTGTGAACATCTTTTGCGGTCAGGGCCGGGGAGGGCTTGAGGGGCTTCAGTCTCCCCAAAACTTGAAAATATTGGGGACTTGCAGATTCTTAGCTGGAAGTGAGGCAGTTGGATTAAAGGAGCCAAGAGCTTTTGATTTAACCAGGTAGTAATTAGGGATTTCCCCTACACCACCAGACTAAGTAATTTTGAGTAACATAAATAACTAGTGGTGACTGCCGAGATAGAATGGAGGTCTCCAACAAGGAAATCTAAATTACCCTGCAACTGTGTTCTTTCTTTCTATTGGGTGAAAGTGTGTTTCCTTGTAAATCTTATTTGTATCCTGATGGTAACTCACAACTTTGACAAATTATGTTTTTCCCCGGCTGTACTTTTTGAAACTTTTTTTACAATATTCAACTTTCATACCATTCACATTTAATTTTACTATTCTGCACGTTCTTTTATGCTTTTAAAGCTTGTAGTACATTAAGTTCCACAGAAAATATAAGATATGATTTGATTGACATGAGTGGAGAAATCAATTAGATGTATTCTGCTGGTTATTTTGCCAAAAAAAAATTCCTTATCCACAGTGACTTCTTGGGCGAACTTGAACTGGAAGATTATGAAAGGGAGAGTTTGAAGCCAATAGAAGAAGTGCCACAAGTTCCTGTTCCAAAGCCAACCGAGAAGAAACTGATGAAGAAGAGACCACATGCCTACAGGACTAGGGCTGTGAGAGAACAACAACTGGTATTGGAATATGAGGTGGGTAGAGTTACTCTTGACACTGTGATAGTTTAGAAAACGTACTGACTTTGGTGTAAATAATGTAACGTGTTCAGTGGAATTGAAAATCATCACTACTTGTACAAATGCCGTGTGAAATGTGAAAAGCACTTGTTGAACTATAGATAAGACAATCTCCTTTATAGATAGTATAGAGTATAAGGGTTCGTTTTAAGAATGTGTGAGAAAAGCACGCTTACCTGAAAGAGTATGGTACAAGCATAGACAAAAAGAATTAAATATAGACTGTCAGCCATGATGCGGATATCATAGGTTCTGGCGCACACTGTTGGGAGCGCCATGTAGTTACGGCTTGCGCACTACGTAACTACTCGGCGCTCCTAGCGGTGTGCGCCAAAACCTATGGTAACCGCAGCACGGCCGATATCTTAAATTCATTTTTTCTATGGTACAAGTAATGTAACAAAATGTTAAATTATACACAAAAATTATAATATTTCTCTTCTGTATATTATTTTTGAATATTACAATTTTTCAAAGGGCAAGGGCAAAGATGACTTACTCTAGAAATTTTTTTATTTTTATTATCTAAGTACAAATTAGTGAGTTTATACTGTATTAAAATATTTAAAATGCCATGGTAGGTATCTTTATACAAAATCACTAATCCTTCACACACTGGATTGGATTCCCTCTTCAATTTCCTATCATATCCTTTGAAATTAAGAAAGAAGGAATGGACACACAATTTACTTAATTAAGAAGAGTACCAGGAAGTTGAAAGCACAAAATAAGTTTACTACACAATAAATTTGATAGTTTGGTTTTACAAGGGGCTTCTTCAGATGAAAGAACACTGACTTGGTCGATTCAAGTAGTGCCTGTTTTGTAACTGCCATTTAACTTTTTTCTTCAGAAGAATCCCCTTGTATGGTTAAATATCAAGTTTATTGAGTTGTGATCTTTCTTCATACGGTACTTTCAACTACCTGTAACTCTTTTCTAAGGTAAGTTAATTATGTATCTACTACTTCCTATAAGTATTCCTAAGCCAAGAGCCTTTTCCTCCAAAACCCTTTTCTATGACCTGCTATTTATGAGAAAGCTGTCCTGTATATTTATGTAGGAATCTTAACAACCCCTGCTCAAATCAAATTGTAGAACTAATGCTTCCGGAGGATTCTTTTGCAACTAACAAAATTTTAACTGTCTATATTATTACCAATTATTGTTCTTAATCTTTAATTTATTGCAAAATATAATTTATGTTTATTTTTAATGGTAAACATGTCATTAGTTGTGAAATATCAAAATTAAGTAAACAATGTTGGATGTAGTCTATGTACATTTTATTTTATTTCAATTATTTAGGATCCGAACAACTTGGAACTGTCAGGTTCGGAGGAGCAAGACAACCACAGTGACGACTCCACCGCTTGCTCTGACAACCTGGACTCCGGGTCGTCCAGTTCCAGCGAGTCTGCCAGTTCAGAATATTCCGACTGGGTGAGGGATGAGGGAGAGGTGCTGGAGCCGCCCAAGCGACGCAGCAAACGAATACAGAAACCTGTGCCTAAACCGGTCAAGAAGGAGGAACCCCAGGTAAACAATGGGGACAGCACCGATGAAATTGTCACATGTATTTGCTTCATATGTCTTCAATCGTATTTTCTTGTGTGGGTTTCAACCTTTTAGGCCATCATCGGTTAAGCCTAAGTCTAACTTACAAAATATGGTGAAGGATGCAAGTAAATAAAATAAATAGGTAAAGATGGTCCTGTAATTGGTTTGAGTTATTATTGTGGTCGATCTGGTAGGCTACCTGAAGGCAGAAACTAGAGAACCAATTGGTGTGTCCTTTTCAGAACGTTTATAGGCACTCACCTAACCCTGTACAGTAAAAAGCTTTTTGAGAAAAGTTCATTTAGGCCAACATTTAATCGGTGCATGTTTACAGGAGGTGCCAGAAGGTTACCGACCGTCGGAGTGGTTGTCAGCAGTCATCCCCAAGAAGTTCCCGTACTACCCTCAGATGGGAGATGAGGTGATGTTCTTCAAGGAAGGCTACCAGTTGTATCTGGACGCTGTGCTGCATCGTAAGATATACCAGCCTACTCCTGCTCAGCTGCACCCCTGGGGGAAAATCAACATCAAGGTAATTTCTACCTAAAATATAAATTTTTTTGTCCTAGAACGCAAGGGACGAGCCTGGAGTGTTTTTCACATTACTTCATGCTACACTTAGGGGTTGCTGCATTATCACTTAAATAAAATCCATCGGTGAATTGGTGGGTTTTGAACCCGTTACCTCAGGGACCAAAGTCCCGCGCAGCTTGCTCCCCAGACTCTAAAATATTGGAGAAACACACTACTGAAGGTGCGGTACTTGGTCTCATCAACATAGCCTTTCTAGTAGGTTTGGTTCGCAGCATCCTCGTTATTAAGCTCCAACTTCCTCTTACCCCTTCAGATCTAGTCCCAGCATATTGGGGCTTCAGCTGGTCCACCCTCAGGAACATTTCTCAATGGTTTGTCCAGAAATATCAATACAATGTCTCCAGGAAACATTACAGATGCTAATTCGTTCACAAACGAATACACCCGACAACAACTTTCTTTTCTACCAAAAGCTGTTAGAATAGACTCAGGTATCCATATCCACATAAATTGTAACAGTGCAGTCCCATAAACTTGATGTAATGTGAAATGGAAAGGTGTTGAGTTTGAGAAATGTCTAAATTAAAACATAGACATTATTTAGCACATTTTGCCTTAATTTCTCATAGAATAGATATTAAATTAGTGCCATTATTGCAAAGTCAAGCTGATGCTCTTTTGTACTAAAATTTGTCCCCTGGAATTTCGGCGTACTTTGTTTACAGACTAATGCATCACACCTTAAATCTACCGTGTGATAATCAATGCTTGACTGATTTTCAGGAGCCTGAGCTAGTGAAGGTGGTAGGAATAAGATACGAAGTACGACCTCCTCACTTGTGCTGCTTGAGGCTCGGAGTCATGAAACCCAACGGACAACTGACCGGTGAATACTTCCACATCAAGTACCACGATATACCCGACGTCATTGACTTCTTTGTGCTACGGCAAACCTACGACACTGCGCTGGACCGCAGATGGGAAATTGGTAAATGATGTTTATTTCTTAGGTTGACGTTTAAAAAATTGATTTGATATAAGAATTAGAGGATAGACAAGAAAGATATTTTATCTGTGGAAATATATTGTATGGTTGACATTTATTTGAGACAAAGAGGCTAAAAATAAAAATTATAATATTTCGTGGTCATCCACCATTTTATCAATTACTGAGAGATAATAGTGGTGGAGCATATAGTAGTACCAATCCAAAAGGTTGGTAACAATCCAAGTAACTGCAAATAAATAATTTGATGCTTATTCTAAAGCTATGTGATTTTTTTGATGAAAAAAAGTGATGTCAGGTTTAGGGTTTGAGAATCACTTGATTTTGCAAACCATTGCTTAAGATAGCTGTCTGAGTTGGGATACATCACAGTTAGTTCATCTTGGCAAGACCGTATTGTATCAATGAGTAGGTGACTCAGTCGGAAGTTGTTGCTATTGTGGTTGGTGGTATGGTTGGGGGGTTTATCCATGTCATGTAACCTCTTTTTAAATGTTGTCTTTCTTTGGCCATTCATGAATAAAAAATTCTTCTCTTGTTAAATTCTTCTTTAAACGGACAATTAAGTAATCTTAAAATATTCTAGTGCATTTTGTGCATCGCTAATTTCCAAGCTTTAGGTACAAGTAGTATTGCAAACACCGTAATAACAATTTCTCAATGAAGATGTCAGATGTCTTTACTGTTTACAACACAATCACAACTTACCATTTTTTACTATTTCAGGAGATCGTTTTAGAAGCATGATTGATGATCACTGGTGGTGGGGGAGAATAGACGGACGAAGGTTTGTCAACGAATCGTCTGATTTTTTAAAATATCGCATCATCTGGGACAACGGGGAAAGTGAGTTTATGAGCCCTTGGGATATGGAGCCTGTAGAACCAACAGGTATGGTTATCGTATTTATAATGATTGTAGATATTGACACTTTTACAGTTAGTAGACTCTCAATTTTTTATTTCTGGAAATAGCTCATTGAGTTTGAACTGATGTTAGATTGACACACACTTTAATGTGAATTCAATACTTACAGTTGGTTATTTCAATTTCTAAATACAAGTTTTTGAAATGTATGAACAAATTCAAATTCTAGGGGTCAAATGATTGTGTGGTTTATCATCCTCTCGTTTGTTAAAATAATTTCAAAATAAGAGAGTGTCCTTCAGTTTTAAAGGTTTGTAAGAATAAGAAATTAAAATAACTCTAAATTATCTCAAAGCTTCGGGCGGGATTGAAATACTAACGGGATATTTTTCAGACGAGATAAAAATTTTTTTTTAAATTTAATTTTTGTTTAAATTTACAAGATTAAAATTTTTTGCAAAATTTCAAAATTTAAAATATCAAAAAGGTTTCAAATTTTCAAAACTTAAAATTAAAAAATAAAAAACTTAAAATTATTTCTAATTTTTTAATTTTTTTCAAATTTTTTAATTTTTTTCAAATTTTTTAATTTTTAAAAAATTCAAAACTTTCAAAATTTAAAATTAAAAAAAAAGTTTAAATTAGGGGCAAAAAAATATATAAAAATTATTGATGGGCGGATCCAAGAAAATGTCGGTACCAGTACGTTTTTTTTTTCAAGGGCGGGTTTTTTAAAATAAAATAATTTATATGGCTAGGCAATGTCAAAGACTACTGTAACTGTGTCCATATAAAAACACTTAATATGTGTCGTTATTGAAAACAAAGTTATCACAATTCTACGTTGCGCAATTATTATCTGATTATCGATCGTAATTTTGAGGAAATAGGAAAGAGACAAACTACCACCTATCGCGTTGTCTTTCTAACACAGCTATTCGTATCGTAATCTACGACGCAGTGCGAGTGCGTGATTGGTTTGTCGCTATGACGACACACGGTTGCTGTGACAACATACAGTGCGCACTGCGCCTTGTGTGGGATGGGAGATTATATCAACAGGCGATTATACTATTTCAGGAATTCTATTTTGGGACGGATGAAAGATAAGGAAGAAACAAAAAGTGATCACGTGTGCAAATGTAGTGGGCGAGACAATAAGGCTATAAACGAGTATTGTCGCGTCGTTGTTCCTTGTTTGTTTACTTTTTCAGATTCCCTATCAAAAGCCCCTATCTGCTATTTCTCTCTCCCCCCCCTCTCTCTCTAACGATGTACTGATTAAACAGATTGTGGTTGACGACTTTTCTACTTGTAAGTTTCCCTGCGGTTATTTTAGTTCAATCAATCCCATAACCTTTCTATTGTTTATCAAAATAATTAATTAATCTGTTTTGTATTTTATTTCCTTAAAACCAACCCCTATTTACCATCTGTATTTTATATAATAAAATGTTTGATTATAAAGTTTGACTGGCCTCACAATTTTGTACTTATTTTTTTTTGTATAAATAAAATAGGTTATTTATCACAGTTGCTTTGATGATTATATATATAATGAATGCTTTTTATTTTCAAAATAAGTAATGAATTATTAATTTTTGATAATACATGGGTCATTGAATACCATAATGTCATGTAGTTTCCTATTTGTAACTTGCAAATAATAATAATAGATAGTTAATTCTGGAAAATGAAAAATAGTGAACGTATTCATAAACCTGTTGTCAAAACAGCAACGCGGGTGTAAGGGTTTTTTGTTTCAGAGGCTAGGGTGTTTAAAGGACAAAGTGTTGGGCCTCCCGGCTTAGGGGGGGAGGGGTGGTGGTGAGACTGCAAGAGGGGGAGGAAACTGGTTTTGGCTATTTATTGATTAGTTCACCGACCCTTCTGGACAACAAAATCGAGTGACAGTGTTAAATCATTGTGTTCTGTATTTCATTTCTTGTTTACTTTGTGTGTTATTCTATTAATTTTAGTGATTTAGTCTATTCCCTCCTGGTCCCTTGCAAATTGTATTATCAATGCTAAATAATTGTGGTCAATTCAAATTATATTTTTGATTATTCAAATCTCCTACACAAAAAGACAAAAGTCAGACCAGGCATGGAAAAAACCTACTATTGTAATCCCCGTACCCAGCCATATGGGAAGTGGCGAAAGTCTAGTCTAAATATAGCTCAAAGGTCTCACCCTTCCCTTCCCCCCCCCCAACCTCCTACTCAATGTTGCTATCCGCTCATTGCTGTCATTGCACAACCCCTCCCTCCCTTCTATTGTTTTGCCTTTATAGTGTTTCTATTCTGACTTTTATAAACATAAATTTATTGCTTAAAACATAACAGTTCAGTAGTGGAATTTTCTATTGTGAAACAGTAGGCCTACTTTAAAACAAAATCACTACCGATCTATTCTGTGTCAAGTCAGTACTGTATACCATTGTCAGTCAGTCGCCGGCGACTGCTTTGAGTTGACCTATTCTGTCGTGACAGCTATAAAAATAGGTTAGGACAACTACCTCTTGCTTTTTTCTATATTTGTATTACTGTAGAATCTACAGTAATACAAATTATCCATCATTTTTATGTAAACACAAGTTACATTTTAACAAATATTGATTTTTACAATTTTTAACCAAACTGGCGGAGTTCAAAGATAAGCTCGAGTTTCAAGGCCGTACTCTACTCGAACTCAAAATCTCGAATACTCGCCCGTTTTGTGTTAATTACTCGCCCGTTTTGTGTTAATAGTATAAAAAAATCGGATCCATTAAAACCGGATCCAGCCCAAGATCCGATTTTTTGTGGATCCGATCGGGCGTCGGTTCTAGCTCAGATCAGGCGGATCCGGATCCGACCATCACTAATAAAAATTTAAAAGTTTGAATTGAGGATAAACTACTACACTTACTTAATTTGGCCATTGTTGTCACTGAACAAGCATTCTTCTCCTATAGTTTAGAATAGTTTTACTTCTTCTTTTCACTTCAATCCTAAATGTATGTGTGTTTGTATTTATATGTATAAATGTGTATTGGGATGGAATATTAGAAATTTAATTTGTCAAGTAAGATATTATCATTTGTTTTATAAGTGTAGGGGAATATTAATTGGGCATTAACACATTAATATAATTTTGACCATAATTGGTTCTAAATGCCAAATGTTTTGTTTCTAGCTCTGTTTTTTGGGAAGTTTTGTTGGGATTTACTTGGTTAAGTTTTAGGTTGGTTTGGGTTTCATATTTCTTTACTTGGTTTCTAATGAGCAAAGTTAACTTGTTTTGATTATGCCTCAAAAATAATAAAAATAATTCACAAACAGTTAGTAAAAAAGCAAGAAGTTAATACAAGCTCTTATTTCAAGTATGTATCTAGCATGTATTTTACAAATCATATTAGTTAAACAAATTGTTACTTTTTACTCACCTCCATAACACAACTTTAGCAACTACTTTAGGGTTGAAAAACTAAAGTTTTCTAAAATGTACACTAATCGCCAACTAAATATTCTTACCCACCGTTCTTTGTATATATTTGTAAATAAATCAACTTTAAAGATATAACAAAGCACAAGGGCCTAGATTTTCTGGATTTTTCTAAGGAGAAGGCTTATCTAAAAGGGAAAGAGTTTACCCTGCCATGAAAAAATAAAAACTAAAAATTATACAACAAAATAAGAAAATTAAAAAAATAAATACTTTTTATTTATCCCCATAGAATTTATCTCTCTATGGCAGTAAAATTTTATTTTTGTCATATTTGTGTATAGTGTGATGCTATTTTTTAGTCAGAATGGGCTCTCCCATTAACACAAGCCAGACATATGGCAAAATTATAAATAAAGAGTTAAACATAAAAGATTTAAGAAAGGTATACCTTGTACTATAGTTAACACGTGATGTTTTGGTTTTTTTAAACAAATTCAACATTCAACTAAATAAAATAAAATAAACTGTTTAATTAGGCCTACTATATCAAGAGTATAAACCTACCGTTAAAGAAATGTTTGATATGTTTTGTAATAAAATACAAAACTATTGAAGTAAAAGGTAAAATGGCATAGTTTACCTCAACAGCAACCAGTCCTCATCAGCAATGCTGCTCATTTTAAACACTTTCAGTTTATGATTTGTTTCTCTTCTGTTGGTCTGTTTTGTTTGTGTTACAATGTGTGGTTGTGGGACAATAGCGGAGCCTGTAGAAGTGGGGGGATCAATTCCAGTGTCGTCGAGTGAGATAGCGGCCATCTTGTATCGCCCGAGGCCGGACGAGTGGCCGCTGGGTGACAGAGACGCTGCTTGTGAGAGGATCCTCATGGGATTGGACCAGGTGATGGAGCTGTCTGTTGCCGAGCCTTTCATCGCTCCCGTCGACCTCAACCGTTATCCGTCCTACGCCACTGTGGTTGAGTACCCCATCGACCTGTCCACTATCAAGGTAATTAACCTTTCTGTTACAAAAATTCTGTAGCCCCAAAAATGAAATAGTCTTGAGTAGCTTCGTTGATGGTTTGTTTAGTAACACGTACATTTAAAACACAACGTAAGCAATGTAGAAATAAATAAATACGTTTGTACTCTCAAGGAAATGCTAAATTGCTGGTATTGATGAGTGTATTCCTGCTCGAATACTGGTGTTGTATTTTATGATAGGCCTATTTAATTTTTTTGTCTTTTTTGTGTTAAATGTATGTGGTTTGTATTCAGATGTCAAGCGGATGTACTCAATTTCCTGAACTAATGTGTTTGAAACTTGCATTCCAATGTGCATTCCAACAAAATCAATTGGACGAAATGAACTGCCAACAGTTAACTTAGATGCATCTTGGTTTCTAATTTTCAATTAGAAGTGAATTAGTTTGGAATTAATTATTCAAGTGGTTGACTCGTTTTCTCTTTGGATGCAATTTGCAAGTCTGCTCACACCTCGCAAACACTGTTTTGTTGGTGACTATAGTGGCAAAATAACGTTTCTGCATTTTCTGCGGGTTTTGAAAATAGACGTTTTTCATGGTTGGTAAAAAATATTGTTAAAATAAAGATTGTAAGAACTTAAATGAAATTAAATTAAACTGAAGTTAAAGTTAATTAAAGAGTCAAAAGAACATTATTATTGAATGTAGTATTATTGTACCTCAGTCCATTAAATTAAACTGAAGTTAAAGTTAATTAAAGAGTCAAAAGAACATTATTATTGAATGTAGTATTATTGTACCTCAGTCCATTGCCCAGGCTCTCTGATGAACTTACCAAAGACTTTATCAGTGTAAACAAAACTCTTGGATTAATGCTGAATTAGCGGTGTATAAGATTAAATAGGTTGGCAAAACTTTTTATGTAATTTTAAAGATGTTCTTTTATGTATTTTGTTTGACTTATATAAACTTTGTTGTTGTGTGTTACAGGCAAGGTTTGAGCACAGGTTCTACCGTAGGATTGCGGCCGCACAATTTGACATTCGCTACCTCGCCACCAACACGGAGAAGTTCAACGAGGCCCACAGCCACATCGTCAAACAGGCTCGCATTGTCACCGACCTCTGCCTCAAAATTGTCAAGTACGCAACCAAGTGCTACATATTATCCGTTTGAGAGACTTTCAATAGTTAAATTTGTAGTAAGAAGTGGTATACTATTAGCAAGGTTTTGTAATTCTTAAAACCTCAAACTGAGTAGCTATAACTACTATAGCCTTACCATCAGACTATAATATCTCCCAACTAAAGGTAGATTCACACACATCAGTTACGACAAGTCACAGCTCAGTCATATCCTTCACGTCACAGTCAACAAAAATATTCTTCAATAGATTTTATATTGTGCTATTCACACCCATCCGGCGCAGGTCCGTCAGTCAATTTCAGATTTCTTCCAACCGGTATTTTTGGATTGTTCGGGCGCCTGACGAACGAGTTTGAGGTTAGAAAATAGTGTTTTTGTTATTTAAACTATTATGTTTATGTTTTAAGTATTGTTTGTAACAATCAACAAGATACGATGAAAATTTGAAATAATATTGTGTTTTAATTACAAATTCTTGACTGTAACATCCCTGTAAATACAGTGACAGAAGACTACTGACGGACAGTTGACTGAGAAATTGTGGATGCAGTTGAGACTGAACTGTGGCTGGACTGGGACGGAACTGATATGTGTGAATCGACTATAAAGGAGATGGGACCTCCCTTTGTGGTTTTAGAAATCCTGGAACACCACAACCGTTAAACTTAAGGATGATTCCCCTTCCTACACCTTCCTAGGTCAGACTTTAGGACTGTGACTAATCAATTAGCTAATATAAAAACTCTTCTATGCATATCATACTTATTTACAGTGATATTAGAGGCTTGGCACTACTGCATACTACACCATTGTAATCTTCCCTTTGGGATGGTCAAAATATTCAGCAATAAAGAAAGAAATATTTCAATTTTGTGTGTGTTATTTTACAATAGCTATTAAGAATACTCAGCTAGGGTACAGCTAGGCATCTTTGTATAATAAACTAAATAAAACCTAAATGTTCAACTAGTAACCATTATCTACCTACAGGGAGACCTGCACAGTGGACGTGTCGTCACTCTACCGCCAACTGTTAGAGAGCTACAGGTCCAGTGACTCCGAGGAGGTTGGTGAGCCTGGCCCGTCCACCAGCCGACACAGGATGAAGGCAGCGGCCGCCAGGTCCATGCGGGCGATGAGAGCTTCCCGACGAGAGGCCTCGCGCCAGACTGGTCCCTTCGACTGGAAGCGGGAGTGCAGAGAGTTCTTGGAGATGCTGTGGGCCTGTAGGGACTCAGAACCATTCAGGTGTGTGCTGTTTGGCTGTAGAATGTAAATAGCGTAGATTTGGAACTGGATTTCATTTACAAGAGAAATTTGATTTTGACATATGAAATGAGCATTGATTTGCTATTATATGTTTCTTGTGTTCTAGAACTAAAACATACTTTAGCCCTATATCTTTACATAACATATCTTAAAATATATAAACATATCATAACATATCTAAACATATCTTTAGCCCTTATTTTCCATTTATTTTGCTTTTATGGCTCTGTACTTCACGTTTGCACATACTTTACCTGTATATGTTTCAGAATTATCTGTTTTTAAACAGCTCAGTTAGTTTTGTATTATCATCGTTCAAGAGGGATGGATTTTCCGAATGAGCACTTCTTGTAATTACAGGGAGCCTCTAGACAGGCTGGAACACCCTGACTACTATCGCACAGTGGACACCCCCATGGACCTTGGTACTATGAGGGAGGAGCTACGCGGAGATAACTACGAGAGCCCTGAGGACTTTTGTGATGACCTGCGTCGGATATTTGCCAATGCCAAGAAAACCACGGACAAACGATCAAGGGTAAACAGTCGTTGAAGTTTTAGCATTGATTTTTGAATAGTGAAGTAGACATATGGGAAAGAAAAGAGTAGACAATTTTCATTCAAATAGAACACAGTGGAATGAGCAGTAGGTGTGCTGTGGTGGACATTTTATTTTCCCCTTAGTTTTTGTTATTGGAATATTTTATGTATAGCTATGTTATAGTTTACAGCAAGTGGTGTCTTTTCAGTTTGGCTTTATAAGCAGGCATGCATTTGTTTGTAATCATAATCACAGAGAAGTAATAAATAGAGGATACAGTACACGGTACAGAAGCACTAGTGCTGGTGTCCAGGGCAAAGTCCCACCACGGTCCCCTTGCCCTCATGTAGTGATGTAAAATACCCGGGTATTTAAAACTCGGGGTAAATACCCAAAATCCATAAATACCCGGGTATTTTGGGTATTTATGAAATTTATTGAAATTAATTTATATTTACCCCGAAATATGTTATTGTTATCATTACATGATAAATTAGGATAGTCTATAACACCTTTTACAGTAACTTGAAGCTTTGCTAGTACCTTTTATTTAATGATTTTTTTTTATAATACATAAAGTTTCTAAATAAGCATGGGGTTTCGTGTCTGAAATCAAGTAACATCAGTTAAATTTAACTTAACTTACTAAAAAATAATATATTAAGAAAGGCTGTGGCTATTTCAATTTTTATCATTTTATAAATTTATAACCAATTAAATAACACAAACAAAATTATTTTAATTTATAAATATCCAGGAATTGTTAAATGATTTATTGTGCTATAGATTAAAATATTTTGTATCACAAGTTTATGAAATTAGTTTTTTTTTTTATTTTGATACCATTGATACCAACAAAAGATCTAGAACAAAAATATTATTAAATCCTGCCATCCTACGGATTAAATTTTAATTATTTTCTTAAGTTGTTTACACATAGGCCACAAATAGGATAAATTTTCCTGTCTTTCTAAATAATAATTATTACTTTACAAATTATTTTTCTTCACTTAAAAAAATAAATTCATATATCTATCATAGAAATTAAAAAATCATAAGTAGTCAGGACCAGTGCAACCATGGGACCAGGGTATTTATGCCGATTATGCTTTATGCTCAGACGTGGGTATTTATGCCCATTATTGCCAGAAGTAAAATGCTTGAACTGACCATATGAAATTTTGTTTAACACATTTTATTACCATTTTACTATCCTTACAGGGTAATAATTGCAAAAAAACATCTCAATCTTCTCTAACTTTAATACAAATTATAAATACCCAGTTTTTGGCCAATTTATATTTACCTACCCACTGGGTATTTACCCGGCCCACATCACTAACCTCATGTACTACAACACTCGCGGTGAAGGAAGGCCCTGTGCCATAGGAATTTCCGCACAGTGCTTGCTGTTTGCGCTCTTCCTTGCTCATCATAAGTATATTTCCGCCCCAAAATACCAACCTTACTTATCTGTGTCATAAAATAACATTTACCCATCTGGCAATATTTTTACCTTTCGTTATTTGTTTTGAATTTATTTATTTATATTGATGTAAGAGTACGCCTCATATCATCCTGTTAAGTCCTGTTTTATACTGTTGCAGGTATACACAATGGCTGTGAGATTGTCAGCACTCGCTGAGACAAATATGAACAGAATATTAAACACCTGGAACAACTTAAACAAAAGAGGTACTTAAGGAATACATGTTTATACCCGACAATATTCCTACTTACGAGTTACAACTGTACAAAAGAGCTGATAAATATATAGTTTTTCCTATTAAATAACAAGTTTTTTTTAAGTAATGTATATACTATGTATTTAATTAATTCAACTTTCAGAAGTTAACGAATACTGAATGAAAAAATTACTTTATCTTAGGTTAATCTAGTAAGCTTTGGATTGTTAGCATTAACCCTAAACTTGCCTGAAACATATTTGAATGGAATTTAAAACCTACAAATGTTGGCTCCACTTATAGAGTAGGCTTAATATTTCATCAACATATTTATCAATGACTGGTTTAAGGTTTGGATTTATTCTTTTAACTTTTAACTTTCTTGTTTGGAATTTATAACCTTCTTCATTAAAATAAACTTAAGTTTACATGTACTGAAAAAAATGAAATTAGCAACTAAGACTTTTACGGTCACTAACACTAACCCTAGAAACTTGATCTTCAGGGTCTCACTGCGCCTCAGATATCAAATTATAACTTAAGCTAGACCATAAAAACCCAAGTTTGTAGTAAAAATTAAGTTTTTTTTCTGTTTCAAGGTGGGAAGAAAAGCCAAAGAAGAAGAAAACTGTTGATGTCTGATGATGGCAACGGTTCAGTGAGCGAGTACGAACCTCCGAGTACAAAAGGTAAATATTTAATCTCAAATGTAAGTCTCAATGAGACAGAGCCACTCTACTGCATTTATAAATTTCTTGGATTAACTGTGTAAGCTTTCAAATGGTCATATTATTGTCCTAAACCTAAGCCTTAACCCTCCAAGTGTCTGTAGTTTTGGTCTTAATGTTGGCCCATTTATTGCGCAATCGCAGGGTTTTATTAAAATGTATCTTAGAAACTAAAAAACAATGTAAAGTATACTGTTTTATATATAATTTTGTTTGGAAAATTATGGGCTTCAATGTAACATATAAAACATTACAAAAAAAAAATGTTCAACAATTTTTGTGGGGTTAACATTTCTCAAAAATTATAAAATAAATGAAAAAATTATATTTGCGCTCAATAAATTGTTATAATTTATAGGTCTACAAATATTTTAAAATAGCCACTTTGTTCAGGATTTTATGAGGATTCTAAAAATATAATAATATAAGGAAGTAGGTTTGCAAATAAATAAGTTATGGGCAAAAAACAGATTTCGGTACATAGCGTTTAGCTAAGAATGCATAGCCTAACCATAGCTAGGAATCTGGCTGATAATTTACATCAATATCACTACCTACTTCTTCAGGATCATCACCAAGCCCTTCAAAATCACTTAAATCTTCTTATAATGCACCCTGTATATCACTACTTTTGATTTTTAATACTAAAACAATGATAAACGTAATAAAACACATCAGTCATCAGTGCAAGGTTAACCAAGCTGTTCACAAATACGCACGTCAGCTGTCTGCTAGAAACAGACATCAGGAGAAAGCTCTGAATCTGCTGAAAAAAACCATACCTAACTCGATCCAGTTCAATCCGATTCAGTCAGTCCCAGAGCCGTCGCCGTGAACAATGTTTGTGAGTTGCAAAAGCGACACATAACACTACAGCGGATGTGTTATGAGTCGCTTTTACGACACATAACACCCGGAGGATTAATTTTTTTTTTGGAAAGGAGGCTGCAGGCTCAGAAACTGTGCGGTAGGCAGAAGCAAGTTAGTTAAAGACGCTTTGAAAAAGAAAACACCTGCTCCTGCTGGGTCTTAAACACCAACGCATTCACAATGTACCTTCTCGTAACATTTGTTTTTGTTTCAGGTCCAAGAAAAGGCACATCATCTAGATTCAAGTCAGGTGAGATTTAAAGAAATGAATCATTAGTATTGGAAATGTTTGTAATTAATGTGGTAATTGTGTGAATGTTTCTATGCCTTTGCATACAACCCTCAAATCCCCAGTTTAGGAATCTTTATTATATCATTACCTTAGATCTGGCTAAACAGCTAGGTAGCAGAGTAGATATAGTGTTCACCTTCTAGGCAGAAGGAATCTGGTTCGATAAAATATCATTAGCTTTTTGACATTTAGAAACTGGATCCAATTGTGCTTGATCTTTCTGCTTTTGGTGCTGCTTCACTGGGAAATGGGGCTTTAAATGGTGCGGGCCTAGAAACACCTGATTTCAGTCAGTAACTAGCTATCAACTCATTCATTCAACTCTTAGCCTATACTCATGTGTTTTGGCATCGTATAGAACTCTTCTGTCCCTACAGTAACACATCCTAACTGACCTACTCAATGCAGTACTTCTAGCCTACCTACATAACATTGCCAACTACTATCTCTCTACAATATGAACCCCTATCATCATAGGAATTAAGGATTAAATATCATTAATATGTTATTTTTGGATGAATAGGCCTATATAATAGCAATAGCACTTAAAACCATATACAGGGCAATATGTGTTTAATCTGTAATGGTTATATGCAAGGTTGTGCAGTTCTATTTCAGTGTAAAACTATAGATACCGGTAGTTTAACATTTTACCATTTTTTTTTAGTTCTCAAGAGGCCTTCAAGATTGAGGGAGAATAGTGATAATGAAGAAAGCAACAATGACAGTGATGTGGACTACCATCCCAAAGCAGGAGGCACAGGTAACTTTACAAGTTTAGTAAGATCAATATAATCTTCTACATTTGTAAACATTTTTGTGGGCTTCACTCACGGTGACATCCATGACTTGTCATATACAGTAAGTCACACACACAATAGTCCAGAGATCGAGTCCGGCATTTTTCAGGTGTATATCACGAGTTCTGGATATCATCAGAATTTAATTTAGCATTTTACATTTGAACATGAGTTATTATTTTCTCATTTTTTACACCTAAAACAGTTCATATTTCCTGATAAAATGTCATTATATCTATGTTTTTTTTTATTTACACAAATATCTTTCTTTTTAGCTGTCAACGGGTTTTCAAGAAAGCGGAAAGTGGTGTCTCGTCAACCCAAATTAAATGGCTCTAATAAAAGGGAAAATGATCTGAGGATGAGAGTAACAAACAATGTAATCGTGAACCTGAGTAACGCATTCAACCCGAGCATGCCTTCTACGAGCAAAACTGTGGACAGCATAGTGGTGAAACGTGCCAAGATGATTCATGTGGAGAAAAACAATGATTCAAGTGAAGATGATGAAGAAGAAGAGATATTAAATCATAACAGTAAACGACCAAACAACAGTAGGAAAATTCAAGACTCTGAGTCGGAGAATGAGGAAGGAACCGAAAACACCACCGCTAACAGTGCAGTTGGTAGTGACGATGAAAATGTGGAAGATGAAGAAGAAGGTGGTGAAGTGGAGGATGAAGACAGCGAGAGTGAAGAAAGTTCAGATAATGAAAGTGATGGTTTCAAACCAGATGAAGAGGAAGTGGAAGAGGAGAAACCTACGAGGAAGACAGTGAAAGTGCTCTATCCCAAGAGAAGATTATCAAAAGAAACAGACAGTGAAAACTCAAAAGAGAATTGTGTAAATAGTAATTACCAAAATAGGTCGGGTTCCCTCAGAACAAGAACTTCTCGGACCAAAGTAAAAGGAAAGTATCCGCTGCGACAGACAACAAAGAAGAATCTAGCGGAACACAGCTCGGATGAAAGTGATGAAGATTTTCACAAGAAAACACGAAGAACTAGTCAAAGAGTGGCAAATGGCTCTGCTACTTATTTTGAAAATTCAAGTGAAAGTGAAAACTCAGATGAAGTAGTGGTAGATGATAGTGTAAACGAAGATGAAGCCTACTCCCCCCCTCCTTCGAGTAAGTTTAACTGCCGGGGACGAAAACGACGCAGATCTTCGGAATCTACTGAGTGGGGCTCGGGTAAGAGAGTCACAAACAGACTGAGAAACGGTGGTTCTAAAAGATCTCGTGACAGTGACAATGGCCCCAGAACTAGAAATTTGCGAAAACGGGAAAGTGTGAGAAGAAATAGTGACAGTGAATTGACACCTGATTCTAACAATTCAGATAGTGACAATACACCTGCTATCAGTGTTAGCAGCCGAGGAAGAGTTAGGAAATTAACACCTAGAGCCAGAGCGCTACTTAGAGATTGAGGTTTAATTTTCAGGTAGTGTAGGTGATTCATCAACCACTCATTTTGATAAAAGTATATTTTTTGTAACTATAAAAATTAAAAAATCTATTACGATTGTTTAAATGTCCAAAAGTGTAAAAGTGAATGTATATTATTAGAATTAAATGTTTTTCAAGTTTAAGTTAGCCATAGTATCTTTGTTTTAGCTTGTTTTTTTATTTGTGTCTGTAAGTATAATCATGTGAACATTTAAATTAACACTAAGAAAAAATAATCTATTGAATGTAAAAAAAACAAGACATGTTTTTCATGACTTCAGGTGGTTATGAAGAGCATTTTTTCTAGTGATTCTGGTATTGTATACAAGCGTTGATATATGTCATATCCTAAGACATGTTGTAGACAAAATATTGTAACTAAACAACCTTTTTTCAAACTGATCCAAACTGTGACACTTTGTTCGTTTTTTTTCAAAAGAAAATTGTAAATGATTGAAATAGAATAGTTTAACTAGTCTTCTTGTAATGTAAGTTTGCGTTGTATTATGTGCTATTTTATGTTTAATTGTAATTTTTTAGGCTGTTAAATGAAGCATAAAATGACTACTGTGATCAATTTTTGACTTTGTGTAAATATATTTTTTTAATGTTTGTAAAACAAATTGTATAAACAGTGTACTGTAATTTTTCTTATGAAACTTGTTTTTTTTTTCGATTTTATGAACCGACCTTGTTTTGTTGGGATCTCCTGTTTACTTTCGTGGTTTCTCTAATCAGAGATTCTATGTGGTTCTATCTGTAGAGACCGCATAATTTGTTGAACATTTTGTTATGTAATAAAGTTACTAAGCTTTTCCCAAAGAATTTTCTAGACACAGTTTGGTCATAGATGCATGCAAACTTAATGGTTTATCTTTGTTGTCTAAACCTCCAATGGGATTTGAAGGAATTCAAAATCACTTAAAAATAATAATACATTAAATCAACACTATTTCCATGGCTGGATCCAAACGAATTAAAAATAGTTATTCTGACCTTGTTAGATTTAAGGTCAGTGAGAGTCAAGCAAGGTTTTGTAGTAATAGACAATATCATAAAATTAATGAACTATCATAAAAACAGAAATTTATACAATAATGTGTACTCTTTTAGCTATATGTAACATCAAACTTGATTTAAGATCAGCAAAAAACCGTACTAAGATTGCTGGTTCCATGAAATAGAAAAGACATAACATACTATCTGAAATTTCCCTAAATTTAAGGATTATAAACCCAACCGATTTTACTTTAAAGCCTTATTATGTTTTATTCTAAGTGTTATGCTACTTTGAATTTATTTTCCCATTTAAACTATTATCAAGGAGATTACATTTAATAATTCAAATATAATGTAAGATCATAATCGATCAAATTTTAGCTAGTAGCAAAAATTATAGCTTGGTAAATCATCCTTTTTTTTGTATTTATAAAAAAATAGTTGTAAAAATTCATGGCATGGTGGAAAGAGGATCCAAAAATTGTGAAACCTTTTTTAGGACTTTCCTTGATTAGTTGTGCTTAGTTTTCAGGTTCTAAAAAAGTAAAAGCTAATTTTAATGGTATTTTATAGAAACATTTTAGTCTGGTTTTTAGTTCAAGTATTTTTTTTTTTTATTGAGGGATACAAAAATGTACATTTGTAGTATTTTTTAGTACAGTTAGTAATTGCTTTTTGGAGAGTTAATTCTGAACTTAATTGTTTATGCTTGAATATTCTAACACTGCCAGATGTACCTAAATTTCCCTTTACAAACGTTTTTACTTTATAGGCTAACAATTATTTAGTGTTTTAATTTGTGTACTCTAAGAATCTGTGGAATGAAAGTGTTGAGTACTTATATGGGTTATATTATTTTTTGCATGGACAAAAATTTAAGTAAAATATCAGAATTGTGTACTATTTTTTATAATTTAAATTTTATGAGAAGATTCGTATTTTAGTTAAACCTGAAGCAATCCTCAATATTCAATGTTGAAACAAGTAGAGATTATGGATATTTTATAGTTTTTCATGCAAACACAAAACATTTTTTCTGTTTTATGTTTGTGTTTGATACATTTTACAAGACTGAGCACCTTGTACTATTTAACTGTAAAAAAGTTAGTTGTAGTTAATTATCTGTGTACTTCTATTTTGAAATAAAATGTTTTTATTGAAGTTGTCCTTTGCAATCATATGTAATCCAGTAGGTTGATGTTCATTTACCACTTACAAGTCCTGTCCTATAATTTCCTATCCTCTTCTTCTTTCTGCTCTCCATCCTCAATTTCTATCTCACTTCTAAAATATATAGAACACCCTCTTGTAATTCCCCCACCTTTTATAGGTATCTTCCCTTTTCTGCCTGGTCTCCCAGTATTAACATGGACAATAAAGTTTACCTGGTCTAAAGGACAGGACATAGTGTTAAGACCAAGGATTTAATTTAAAATTCTCAGCTTTATTAATTTACTTATAATAATCAATAAACATGAATGGTATTGAGGAAACAGCAAGATGAAATATTAATATACATAACTATAAAAGTAATACAAGAAAACGATCATCGTACAGAAATAAAGGAAAACAGAATATACTTTTTTCACAAATGGCAATTTTTTAGGCCATAAATAACTTAAATTGGCAAGTGCTTTGAAAAAGTGTATGCAATGTCTATTGGATTTTCTTTAAATTTGCTTATTATTTTGGAAAATATAACGATTTTGTGTATGATTTTGTGTCTGTCAATGATTTTGGTTAGTTTTAAAATTTCACTTTTTACATGAAAGGTTTTGTTAATGTAACGGTTATTAGCAATCATAATGCTCAACTTGATTAATTGTTTTGTTTAGTGAACATGCTCCAACTTCCTCCACCTTTTTGAAGGTGTCATATTTTTGGAGGCAAATTTTTACCAGTTTGTTTACTATTTCCATGCGTCTCAAAGATGTATATAAAAAAAATCTGTATGCTTACCGTCAACATTATCAATAGGGACATTTTGTATCCAATCCTAAAATATCAAAATTGAATTATAAGCCCTTAAAACTATTTACATGTTCCACTAACACCACACAACTATATATTACTAACACAATAATTCCAAAAGACAAGATACAAGATAAAAAATTAAACTGTTTCAATTAAACCGTCTTTACATTTTGAAATTTATCGTATTTTTAAAATAAAGTAAACACATTAAGCTTTAAACAAAAACTGTTTATAAGCTAAAAAATCTTAACTAAGGTGCGCCTGACAGCGCTGATGGGGATTATTTTCCACCATGAATAATGGATAAACAAGTGAATATATTTGTCGATCATGATTGGTCATGTCGAACAGTTGCAGTGTTTTGTCTGTGAACAGTAAAACACGTTTACTACTGTCAGGGAATCCAGCACTTGCATAAAAACAAAAATCTTAATAACTGTTGTGACAGATCAAACTATTGTAATAAATTTAAACTTCATTATACCTTAATCTATATATATAAAAGGCAAAGCCCTCACTGACTGACTGACTGACTGACTGACTCACTCACTCACTCATCACTAATTCTCCCACTTCCCATTTACCTAGGAGGCTGAAATTTGGTACACTGATTCTTTAGGCTTTAAATAGGACAACTAAGTAGTTTTTATTCTGATCGGACTCTCGGACTCCGCCCCAGTGGCTCTGGAGTTTCCCATGTTAACCTTATGAGTACTCATATTTGAATGGAATTAATGAATCTTAACAGCTGTTTCAATTAAACAAGTTGGTTCTGTTCTATGATGTGCAATAGCATTAAAGTTACAAGGATTACCAACAGGGTGCAGCACTATTATAAATTTATGACAACAGCTAATTTGCAACCAAAAGGTGAGTGAGCGCAGCGAACGAGCTCCAACCTAAAAGTGAGTGAGCGTAGCGAACGAACTTCAACCAGGACGTGATTGAACCATGCGAACGAGCTCATCTTGAAAATGAAGAAGTTAAACGGGGCAAAGCCCGCGGGTACAGCTAGTTAATATATACATATAAGATCTAACTCAGTCATCATAGCTAGCATTAAAGTGTATCCATTTTATACCAACTTAATTACAAAACAAATGTAAAATTTAAGTAAATTTTCTCTGTGCCTCCATTTAACATAAATTAGCCGGTAATACATTATATCTACCGTACAGACACTTTAGTTATCTAAACTCAGAGTAAAAGGATATAAGCTGCTGTTTCACAAAAGGTGTACATAACCTGATTATAAAGGATGAGCAAAGTTTAAATTGGGAAAACGGCGGAGAATTCAGCGGGAGAAATTGGCGGGATGTAATTTCCTTTGTGAGGTGGTGATGGCCAGACGTGTTGGGACGTGTTTTCTTTGCCTTTGGGTAACTTTTATTTTGTTGATTTACTTTATTGTTCATTTTAAGCTGTTAAAACCCAATTCCAATAGCTATAACTGGGGATAATAATTATTTGGGTAGTTTTAATTTGACAATAATTGGGATTGTAAGCATCCCTGAAGTTTACTTCACCCAGACAGCACGTGAGCTTGGACCAAACTTGGTTTTTACATATTTCTGAATTGGTATGACAAACTTGGAGTTTGGAACCCACTACAAATTTAAAACAGCTTTGGTTAAGTGAACTTGTGTGAATGAGCCAAAACTAAACTTGTTTTATTTACATATATAACCTGGTTGGCCAAGTCCACAATTTAAACACCTAGCCAGACCCACGACAAGCTTGTTCATGTGAGTCTAAAGTGAGCAGTGCCATATGACAAAAGAATTTTCCCTCCACCCCTACCCAGAACGCTCCTAAAACCTGTTTCTTTGTGCTGAACCACCATTTTTGTTGGATTTAAACTTCCTCACTCTCAGTTGTCAGTTCTCACTTATCTAGTTCTGGTGTTGTGAGTTACTCGTTTCGTTACTAGTTGTGAGTTTTGTTTATGGTTTTGATACCAAGACGAAGCAAAGAAGAATTAAGGGATTCCTGTAAAGGTAAGATTTAAACTCCATTGATAAAAAATATACTTGTGTTGGTTAGTCTATGATGATATAAGTAAGCTAAGTTAAGCAAACAATTAATTTCATTGCATCAAGAACCCGTAGAATTTTGTTTATAGCCTAAACCTTTTGTGCTTTAACCTTTGACATACTCAGCGCTTCTTCACTGAATCGACAACGTCACTCACTATACTATACTCTAATAGTCTACTGCTGAACTCAACAGAACAGTGCCAAAATTTGTGTTTAACCTTAACCATTATAGTCAATGCCTTAACCTAGTCTACAGATAAAAACAGGCCAAACCATTAGTTTACGTATAAAAGTGAAATAGTAAGAAATAAAAGTTTGATAACAATTTTAAAAACAAAGGTAAGTTAACACCCTGTGTTTGCAACACCAACAAATTACAAATAATTATAATAACAAATAAAAATAATGAAAAATGATTTAAATGATAAATTTTAATAAACCAAATAATTCAAATGCAATTGTATTTTTTATAGATCTTCTGAAGCAGGCGGTGGAGTTGATGGGTTCAGAAAAGAAGTTGAAGGTCAAGTGGAAGATAGTGGGCATTGTATTTATTATATTAATAAATTGTCTTGAAATGTGAATGTCTTGCTTTCTAAACCTCATATATAACCAATATTTTTTCAAGATCACTCATAAAATAGGCTTCATTTTATCATAAATCTTTCTTGGTAAAAAAATAATTATAAGAAAAAATGTGGGCTAGCAAATGAATGGTGTGAAACAGCTTATATGTTAAATAGGTATAAATTATATTACTATTACTATAGCCTATAATAATAATAATAATAATTATTATTATCTCTGATCATGACAGTAATTGAAGTGTATAAAACTTCGTACCAAGTCTGAGTGAGTCTATATGTGTGAGCTTGTTTGCCCAAGTCTAAAATGTGCTAAAACCAATTCCAATATGAGTCTAGGCCAAGTCCAATATGAGCCTACTAAAAGCGGGCTTGGGTCTCCAAGTCCATAATGAGCCTGTTTAATTTATCAGTGTGAGCTTGTTTGCCCAAGTCTAAAATGTGCTAAAACCAATTCCAATATGAGTCTAAGCCAAGTCCAATATGAGCCTACTAAAATTGGGCTTGGGTCTCCAAGTCCCGAACAAGTCCATAATGAGCCTGCTTAATCCACCAGACCCGTTTTGTATCCATCATTCCAAGCTTAGAGTGGGTTTGTGCCCATGAGTTCACTGTAGGTTTGGGGTTGAGACTTGGGTTGGACTTGGGGAGCCAAACCCATAACAAGTTGAACAACTGCCAACTTCGGTCTCTAAAACAAGCCAAAACCAAGCCTACAGACTTTGGTCCCTGAGTCTAAACCAGGCTTGGGAACTTGGGCCAATGGACTTGGAACAAGTTCCCAGCAAGCCCATTGTGCTGTTGGGGCATTCATTTCTTCCTTTATACTTACAACATCTTTGCTTGAAAACAACATTGGAATTGATAATATATTTGCATCTTAGCTAGGTATGGAAGTATTTCATCTCGTAACTTAATAAAATTATTAGATACTTCTTCAAATTTTAAGCTGTGTGCTTAACAAAGAGATGGCGAGGCGGTAATATATATTCTAGTCTTATCTTTACATTGTCTGGTATTACCTTGAATTACGCCTCAGCCCCCTTTCACTTAGACCTTTACACTTGAAATCCCGTTGGAAATTTCACAGATGACACCTAATCTCAAATGCTTCCTTTGTATTCATTGGATTAACCCAAGGGGAACTTTGATGTTTGTTTATAATTCACAAACCAAGAAACGAGGGGTGAGCTCGAAGCTTAGATCATTTCAAGGGGGAGGAAACTCTGTATTCGAGCATTTCACTGGAAACTTGGCTAATAGGATTGTCAGATTGTCGTTTAATATTTGATCTGAAATTATGATGTTTAATTTTGTTTTTGGGTTGTTATTTAATGCTATTGTAATTTAATCCAAACGTTTGTCTCGGATTTGTAATAGAGGAGACCATGAGTTATTGTTTGATTTCGAAGAGGATTAGATAATTTTTTGGTTAAAATTGTTTTGACAAGTTGAAAGCAAGAATTAAACAGTAAAGCCCTATACATTACCGGATGGATCCACCTTCAAAATTAATTGTCATCAGCTGATCCATAGGAATAATAAATCTATAGGGAGCATGTCAATTCTTTAACAGTAAATTATGTATGTCTACTTCAAGCTACCATTACTTTTGTATTGATGTACTAGCTGTGTGCCCGTTCTACGCACGGGGATCTTATCATAGTCAGTTAAAACCTTCTTATATAAAGCACAGCAGTTGGTGTGCATACTTTCAGATATGCTGACAAAACTATTCCTTCGCAAATACAGTATCTGACAGTTTCAAGCCAAAACTAATGCTTCGCAATTAAATGTCACCCGGATCTTTTTGGTCCATATGTTAAATGCAATGATTAAACTAAAAAAACTGTATCAGCATTCTTGACACATACTTTCTCCCATAAGTTTGTCAACAACCTTTATCATGTGTAAGTGGTGAGAGTAAATATACGGAAATGGGATTTGTACGATTTTGTTCAGAATTTAAAGGACTATAACATAATGGTTAAAGGTATTTAAGGTACTACCTCAAACTCATAATTTAACACTTTATTCGGGTTGACATTTTCATTTTCAAGGTGCTCTTGTCCTTTCCGTGAAATACTGAGAAATAAAGGACATTAATGCGTTACCAACAGACATACACACACAAATCCAGAACTTAATTAGGGAATTTGCTACGCTTTAAGCATAAAAAAGTACATATAAAATTAGTATTTGAAATCTTTGTTAATGTCATAAAATTTTATCATAACAATTTATATTTGCTATTGCTTGGACCGGAGATGACCCGAAATTCTGTCGAAATGCTATCTGAATCGGTTTGCTATATGAAATGAAGTACAGTAGGCCTACTATAGACGATTTAGATTGGTGATTTATAGTAAAAATTACCAAAATAGACCACGAACTATTGATACATAAACAACGTTCAAAGCGTTTGAACAATTCATGATGGTTTGCTGAATAAATGTTTTACTAAAATGCGTTATCGCTTAGCATAAACTAACATTTTGGAATCCAGACAGAAAAAGCAAAAAATATACAGTTAAGACATCATTAAACTGAATAGGCCTACGCCTGTAATAAATAAGGTGCAACACCACTAACTAATTTGTAAATTACTGTGATGTGTTGGTACGTAAAAATGATTCTTGCTGCTACCAATGGTTAAAAGGAAAAGAACCAGTACCGTACCAAAAACAACGTTTACAGTTAAGAACTGTAGTACATCCGACCAATTATATGCGTTAATCAAGGTTATTTATCTCTTGGTTTTGGATTTTCTCGTAAAAAGTTATCGGCAATCAAAGTTATTTCCCATTAATTGCTTTATTTGTACACAACTCTTAATGTAAACTTATCGGTGTCAGTTTGAAAAAAAAAAAAAAAAAAAAAAAAAAAAAAAAACAACCTTATACAACATAACTTTCTGTTATTTAATAGATTACGTATTCTCTAAACAATGATTGCTGGTATATCTATTAACATTACATAAGGAAATGTGACAAAAATCACACAACGTTGGGTTTTTGGACGTTTATAATTTTATTTCTTAAGTACTAAGGTAGGCCGTGTATTCTATGGAAAAGTACCGGTATCAAGGGTCGTTGTCGAAAGGGTTGTTATAAATAATTGGGTAAGCATACGTACCACACGTACCGAAGAGAAGGGCTATGGGCCTATTGGCTGTATGGTCCAGCGATTGCATCACACGGTGAGTAGGGACAGAAAGTGACACATTGGAAAATCGAGCTTAGCATCATCCGTAAACCTCTGTTACAATCACCCTCTGCAGTTGTGATTTTTTACTTCACACTTTACACAACCGCCATTGAAGAGTCGTCAATGAGTGGAACCTTGTTTCTAAGCTATTGGTGACGATCATTAGTAAATTTAAGTTTCCCAGCCGTATACAACACTGATTCAATGTCTTCTTTCTGGTTATCAAAACTCCAGAACAATTTTTATACACAAAGAATGTCTGGTTCTTGACCTGGATAATGCCTAGTTATTTAATTTACGATTACACTATGTATTATTCCACTTGCGATTAATTAAATCCTTTATGTAAGAAAAACGTTTTTAATCTCACTTGGATGGGATTTGCCTTCAAAACGTGATCGGAAATGGTTGCGGTGTTTGTAAACAACATTTGTAAACATTTCAGTGACAGCTAGAAAAAATAATCTTGATCCGAACAGCTGTTCGTTATTTCATAGATGATTATGTGATAAAAATTGGACGAAAACTTGACAAAAATCGCACAAAACTGCATTTTTGAACGTCCGTAATTTTAATTACAAAGTAGTGAGGCCATATTTTAATGACTAAAGACACTCTCGCCAATCCAGTGAATACATTAAAATGACTTGGGTCTTGATAGGTACTCTCGTTTTCCTGGAGAAGATTGCGTAAAATGCCATCTTGAGTGTTGCAGAAAGACAGAAAGACAGACAGACAGACAGACAGACAGAAATTTAGATGAGACTTGTTTCGGCTTCTTTAATGTATAAAACGTAAAAATAACCTAAAAATTTACGATTCTGAGCAATGTACAGACAAAACTCTAATTTTATTTATATAGAAGAAGATTGTTAATGAAATGTTAATCTGTAAGTATCATAGTATCAAAGTAATCCATCTTATATTGTCTCTAGTCACAATCTTACAGTTATTTATAAATCATAACTCAATGTTATTATTGTAAATGGCACTCACTGCCTTGGAAAATAAAAATACGAACAAGCTAGTTTATACACCGTTAGATGTTGTACAAAAGTTAAAAAAATTAAAAGATTTTGACGCACAAACAGACTAGTGCCTGCAGATCCAGTCTAGGCAAAACAAAAGAAGTAGTGGGATTGCCTACTTGCGCCTGGACATTGCAGAACATGAACAGGAAATATGGACAATGCGAGAGGCATACTACGGTATAGAATGTCACTTTAGAAACTATCAAAATTTGGTTATAAATAAGTTGAAATGTACTAATACAAACCAAGATATTTAGAGGTTGATCACTAATAAAAAGGGAAGTAACTGATCAACTACCTGTTGTTAAACCGAATTTCGCTTTGGAGTTTGAACACAGAATATAAAATGTAATTTCCTTGAAGATACTTTAAAATAGTATTCCAAGTTACTAGTCGAGAAAATAGGTATTTACCGTACGAGTATTGTTGTTGTTAATGTATACATATATGGGGTGTCACGTTTAAGATTAGATGCGTAACCATTACACATTTCAATTTCTCAGTCTTTTTGGTACGAATGTTTAGGTATTTCATTAAATTATCTGATATCACCAATAAATATTTTATAAGTACGTAGGACAGTCATACATATCGCTAAGTTTCGTCAAAACTTTGCCAAAATCAGTAATTTTCCTGGGTGTCTTATCTCAAACGGTTATACTGTTTATTTAATAAAAGTACAAAAAGTATAGTTTTAGGTTTTAGGTAATTTTAGACTACGAAATGAGATGCCTGAACAAAGCTCTCTTTCACAATATCAGC